CACCCAACTGATTCTTCTTCTACATGGGCCTGGAGGAAGTGGGAAGACTACCGTAATTGACTTGTCATGGCCTATGGCAAAGAATTCTGCGGTTTGATTGATCATCATTTAACGACCGAACCATTGTTGTCACTGCTATGTCGGGGGTTGCTGCTACAATACTGCATGGGGAAACAACGCATTCAGCTGTGGGATTGAACAGAACTCGGGAAAGTGTGGCGAAGAACTTGGTAGAAGAATGGAGTGACGCACGGATGCTTATCATCGACGAAATTTCATTCGCGGGGGAACTTGACTTAGTGAAGATATTCCACTACACCAAGACCTTGATGCAAGACGAATACCAACCATTTGGGGACTTAACTTGGTGTTCGCGGGGGACTACTCTCAACTTGAACCAGTGGGACGCCCCCAATTTACAATCTTCAGCACACCATTCCTGATTTCATGACTCTCTGAATTCATTTATTGAGTTAGATGGAATGCACCGCTTCAAAGACGATCCTGAATGGGGCAACGCTGTTTAAGATTCGTGAAGGGCGACCAACAGAAGAAGATATTGAGACCATCAATGACGCCTGCGTGGTTGGCCCAACCCATGTTCCACCAGAGAACATTCAAGTTGCTACTTATCTGAATCGAGATCGAGATGCCATTAACTCAGCTATCTTCGAAGAATTTTGCGGGAAGAACAAACCTGCTGATGATTCCGTGCTGATGGAAGCAGTACTCATTTTCATGGACGATCTTCAAATGGCCAATCAAGCAGGGACACTGGTTCCTGTTAAGAGCAATTCGTTTTAAAGCACTTCTTTTCAACATGTGGAGAAGACTCGTTAAAACCCGGTTCGGACTCACGAAAACGTGTTGATCCTGCTTTGAAGTTATATAAGGGGTTCCTGTAATGTTTACAGAGAACACGAATGTTCCGAATGGAGAAGCCAATGGATCTCGGCTTTTTGTGAGAAAGGTGAATGTGAGGGATGGTTGCACCCCCATGATTATCAACTCGACAACGGCTGCAAGATTCGGGCTTTTTTCTCAGGTCAAGTCAATCTATCCTTGTGGAACATGAAATGGAGACTATTATGCACGTACTTTTTATGTAACGGAGCAAGACTACACTTTAAGCACCAGATGGTTTTATGACGAAGAAGTTGTACACACCAAGATGAAGGGTAAGCAGTTCCGGATTATCAGCAATTCTGCGACACTGGACACAAATTACAGGAATATACTGCAGTGTGGTTATTGGTACATTCATGGCGATATGTCAAAACTGGGCTTACGTGGTGTTATCAAGGGTGCGAACCATGAGTGGTTGTTCTTATTGAAGAAGCTGGATTGGGATCCAAAGAACTTTGCCATGCACAACGAATGAGAGACATCTTGCAAGATTTAAGGATACTATTGGGCTTTCTGTCCTAGGAGAAGATCATACGATGAAATGTTCCACCGAGAAGACGGGTTCTTGTTATAAGTATAAACGGGAGGGATATAGGTAAATTAATCTATATATAAAAACTTTTATTACTACAACTACCTTTCTGAGATTCGCATTGCACCTCGTACGTCATTCAATGTCAGTCATTGAAAAAAGATCAAGCGTCCAATCAAATCACAGGCGACCCCGAAAAATTAGGAGCCAACTTTTAAAATGTGAAGAACGCAAGGCGACTTTCATGTGCATGTACATGCGTTGACTGTATCCCGTCAATACAATACTATCTAGTCGAATACGTAGACTTCTACAGGGCCTTCTAAGTAATGCGCGCCGGGTATAATTCAAACCTCTGCCCCCATCGGTACCATTACCCCTAAAGCAAATCGTCTCCAGGAGACGAAATTTCTTATGTACTGTAGTCTAGTTCGGTTCGTTCGGTTATCTTGCGGCTTTGCCTCCGTGGTTGGAGTGATCAATCGAATCGAATTGATGCTTAGCCCTAAAGTAGTCGAGTCGAGTCAAGTCAAGTCAAGTCGAGTTTGAGTCACTCCATTTTCGGATGAATCGAATCGAATCCTCACTTACTTTTTTTGCTCGATTTTTAAATTTTCGCTTCAATTTCGTCCAGTACAGCTCGGCGAAGTCGTCTTATTATCGTCATTTTCATGTGGGAAGTGATAGAAATTCCCAAAATGAATTTCTGTGGCGAGGAGGCCTGACACGTTATCGGGTTCCTCAATCTAGCTGTATGATGGCAAACAGATCATCGATATCAAGAGGAAGAACTCCTGCATGTCTGGGCTTTCTTCTTAGTGATTTCTAAAGGAGATCAGAAGAGCAGGTTATGAAGCAACTCACCGCTTTCCATTTTTTTTTCTGGTAGCGGGAAAGCGCTGACACTTTGTTGCTGACGGTGTTCACAGAAACAGAAGAGGGGCTTCTTTGATCCTTACTACCTGCCAACCTCTGCTCATGAGGCAGTGGGTACCATACCATGCTACGTATTTTGATGATGTTTGCACGGTCAAAGATCCCTCTAGCATCCATCCAGCAAATCTGGTCCAATCAATCGGACTAGCAACCAACGTTGATCCGGTAAGAAAGGAGGGTGCTGTTGGTTCCTTGCTCCTTTCAATTCCCAAGTATGGAATCTATCTATCAGCTATCTATCACTGGCTCCTGCAACAGGCAACCACAACAGCACAAGGAATAGACAACAGGTGCCTCGGTGCTCATTGTTTTTGAGGGGTCCGGTAACAGTGACAAAGCAGTCACTTTGCAAGAAAGGTGTGATTTTTAAGAGACGGCGACTTTGTGACTTAGAAAGTTGCAGTCTTTTTACCAACTCAACAATCTCACATCCATAGCTCCCCATTGCATCCATGCAGCAGACTGAGGACTGTCACTCGCTGCTTCTGGGTGGTGTACAGCTGGGTACTTCTTCAGCCCATCATCTATGTATGTATCGTTAACTGTTGTTGGGCTGCACTGAACCATTGTACAGTACATGTATCGTATGTGCATTGTCAGACTATTGTTGTTGATCTGGCCATGCAAGGACAATGGTGTACCAAGGCAGCCATGACGATCATTCCACATCTCCCGCTGCAAATGCCAGTTTTGGCCGTCCAGCTCTGCACTTGTTGAACCTGGTGGGGACGACCAATGGCGTGGTTGAGGGCACTACACGGCGTCGCCTCTTTGAGCGTTTGATCTATAGCATTGCCAGTCCCTTTTTGGCGTACAAGCATTTGCAAGAACGCAATGGGAGTGTCTTGAATAATCTTCCCGCTCTATTACTGGAAGCCTGTCCCGACATGGAATGGTCCTTTGAATGGCGTGACACGCGCTTTTCCGAATCGGTGGCACTGCAGCAACTCATACAGGCCACTTCGTCTTCTACTACTAGCAGCAGTAGTGGTAGTAAGAGAAGAATGGCCGTCGTGGGAGACTTTCCCTCCAGGGTGACCATTCCGCTCAGCATTGTCTCGAGTGCCCTTGATATGGTTCAGATCAGTGGCAGTGCTTCCAGTGCGCAGCTCGATTACACATCGCCCTTTTTCGCCAGAACCATACCGAACGACTCGGGGCAAGCCCAGGCGGCGATTGCCTACTTTCAACAAAGCAAAGTCACTCATTTGGTACACATCTTTGTCAAGGATCCCTATGGCATTCACATGAATGTCGCCGTCCAAAACTTGTGTCGACAAGCGGGCATCAGACTACGGAGTATACCCTATCATGATGAGCACGGGGACGAAGATGCCGTCTTGAATGACCTGGAACAGTCGGGATACCGATACGTCTATGCCACTCTATTTCATGAAGAAGACTTGATGGTGGCTGCTTGGGATCGACAACTTATTGGTGGAGACAGCGGACGTGTCTGGTTTCTCTCGGAGAAACTGTGGTTGACCAATCCAACGTATTCCCTGTCGGCGAGCTCCAAACGCAACTACAAACTAGCTCGCGCTATTCATGGGATTGGACTCGTCAATTTACATTTTCCATCTCATGAACGATTAGATCAAGCATTGAAAGACTTTGCCAACAATACTGCCCTCCAGCAAGAATTCCTTGCCACAATCAACAGCCACGATGATCCAGAACTGGCAGAAGCATTGGTCAACTACACCTTTCCACCGTTTCATCATCACTGGAATCAATATCTCTACTGGGATGCCGTCATGGCCTTGGGGATTGCTTCCTGTCGGTCCAACACGACGACCGGAGCCGTACTGCACCAACAACTTCTCGACACGCAATTCATGGGTGCTTCGGGCCCCGTCTCATTTGATGCCTTTGGGAACCGACGCATTGACACGGTCCAGTATCGTATTGACAATATTCTGCTGCGACATCCACTACCCGACAACAGCACGACCGACGCCGTGTACAAGTTTCAGAGTCACTTGACCAATGTCGTTTACGGTCCCACCAATATCAGCAATATTACTCCCTTTGTGTTTGCTGCTGCAGTTGCCACCGACCACAACTCTTCTTCTTCTTTGCTCACCACCACCATGATTCCACCGTTGCCATTGCCCCCACTTGATGCCGAATGGAACGTCCTTCCAGCCGCCGCCAAGGGGGCGGGGTACGGGTTGGGCATTGTGGTACTGCTAATGTCCCTGGGATTCATGGGTTGGACACTCACCAAACGCACCATTGCCGTGATTTCTCTTTCCCAACCCATCTTTCTCGTTCAATTATGCGTGGGGACCACCCTCATGGCCCTGGCCGTCTTTCCCATGAGTTTACAAAGTGGACTCGACGGTGGACCAGCTCAAGAAAAGGACTATCAACAGTGGCTGAATGCCGCGTGCATGTCCACGTTGTGGTTGCTCTTTTTGGGATTTGTCATTGCCACTTCGGCACTCATGTCCAAGAGTTGGCGTTTGAATCGCATCCTCAACTCTGGAATGGCCATGCGACGCATTCAAGTCCAAGCACAAGACGCAATTTGGCCCTTTTGTGTTTTCATGACAATCAACGTGACATTGTTGCTGGGTATGACGGTGGTCTCGCCACTGCGTTTTGAACGTGTGCCAATTGGCAGCCACAAGGATGCCTTTGATCGGCATGTGGAAAGCTACGGTACCTGTGTCGCGCAAGATCGGAGCAAGCTGTACGGGTTCTTGATCCCCATGTTGCTGGTGGACCTTTGTGGATTGATTGCCGCCACCTATCAAAGCTTTCGAGCTCGCAATTTGCCAACCATGTACTCCGAATCGTCCTATTTGGCAGTGAGCATGATCAGTCTGGTCGAGACTTTGGCCATTGGAGGTCCCATTTTGTTTGCGCTGGATGGGACTAATCCAACAGCGTTCTATGTGGCGTCCACTACGGTGTTGTGCATCACTTGCTTCACGATATTACTTCCCGTGTTTCTGCCCAAATTTTGGATGAGAAACATGGCAGCCCCACGAGGAATGGGGGCTTCCTTTGTGGCATCGTCGAGACGGTTTTCCTGTCCTGCAATCAACACCCACAGCAAGGATTCTTCCTGCAGACTGGATGACTATGAACTGCGTCCTGGCATGCTGGCAATCGTTCGGCGCGATAATCGAACAACCATGGAAACATCCTCCATGGGATTTTCCAAGCGTTCGTCCAGGCGGTTCCGGCCACCACCACAACCTTTGGGAGAAGTCAACGAATTGCGGGAATTTGAAGCATGAGCAAACTCTAGCTGGGCCCGCATACAAAGCTAATTGAAGGTATGCGGGGTATGCATTGGGGCTGTGTGACATGCAGGAGTCATACATCACCCGGTAGCTTGAGGAAGGTGTTTTTTGGGTCGCGTGTAGTGCGGAAGTCATACATTAACCGGTAGCTTGCGGAAGGTGTCCTCCTAACCCGCTCGACCAGAATCCTTGCTTCGGTCATCCGAGTCTTGCCATTTCAATTTGAGCAGGACGGTTGGTTGTGAGTTCCGCCTTGACGGCATCGGCATCATGCTTGAACAGAGAAAGGATGAGATGGAAATGTCGGCACCGGAACCATCGTCGGCCATGTTCGGTGGTGTCGCAGGCGTCTCCATTGTTGGCGGTGCATTCATTGTCGCCGCAGAAGCAGGGTTCTTTAGAAACGAAGAGATCGCGATTGATCGGCAAAGTCGTGAGATGGTGGACAACATGCTGGCAACCATGCCACGCGAATGTGACGTACAATTCATTCCTGACTTCCAGCTCGTTTGTGGTCAAAGGATTGTTGGTAATCACGACACCACTACCACTAGTAGTCAGCGGTTGGACTTGCCCTTCTGCAGGGTGATTTCAAATACAAAACCTGCCGGTTCGTTCGCGCCTACGACGGCACGAACTCGATGAGTCAGTTGCTTTAGTACGTTTAGTTGCTTTAGTACATTTCTTCTATTATACAGACACTTTTAGTCATGCCGTTTGGATGGAAGCCGGGGTCGGAAAGTCGGCGCATGCTGGAGTCGGCGTCCAGGAGAATGAAGGGCGGACCAGAAAGATGACACACCCGCTTAAAACCGCGGTCAAACGATCGTGACTGTATGGCGAACAGCACCCCGTTTTCCCAATGCGATAACACACACTCTTGTCGCAGCTTGTGCCACAATGGAAGAGCAAGAGTGGTGTTTCTCGGTTGTCTGCAGCAAGGTTCTCATCCAGGTTACTCGTAGGAATGGCACTTTGGAATTTCATGAGTCAGGACTCTTCATGGTTTGGAAGGAGCAAAGCAATTTCAGGTCCATGTTCCTCTTTCTTTGTCCAAAAGTGCAGTGATGGGGTGTGTGGAATCACTGGCTGGCATCCATGAGACCAAGAAAGTCTTTGCTTGATGGAACCATGACGTGAAGTTTGGGCTCGATGGAAGATTGGCAGAGAAGTCCGTTTGGCTAGTCATACGTAATAGTTCTCGCCGACTTCCATAGAACATGATGCCAACATCAAGCAAGCAACACAATGATAAGAGATCCAAGTGCATACCAACAGAGTTGTTTGCTCATTTTCTTCGTCTGAACTGGAGTCGAAGAGCCACAGGTCATCTACAAATGCAGTTCGTACTTCAATTGGACTCAAGCTGTTGTCATCCATTCTGTGTGTCATCGTACTGATGCGATTGAAGATTCTGATTCGATTCTCAAGGGAAAGCCGGTGCTGGTCAGGACGCGTCGAAAACCTCCCGTGGAGAGGAAAATATAATACCTCAATATCTTTCAAAAGCCCTCCCCCCATTCCTCGTGCTCTGTTTCTACTGTTCTCACGTCAATGCCCTCGCCAATTTGAAAGAACCCCTCGTGCCATGTCTCTTCTTGGTCTTGCCCGCATGGCAGCAAAGGGTTGATGTGAATGCTGACGGATTCGTGACAGCAACCCCTTATACTCCCTTTGGAAGTTAGACACACTGCTTGGACCAGGTGTGGGTGCTGTTGTAGATTCGGGTGTGGGGCTCCAATTGGGAAACATCTGTGAGCGCACATGCAGGCACTGCGTGCCTCATTGCTTGCTTCGGTGATTCGGCGGACAGGTCCGACTTACCCGGTAACCTGGTCACTCTGCTGGCTTGCGTTTCCTGTCTCGCAGCGAATCCAAGATCCGAGTTGGTCGATACAGCGTCCAACCATTTTTCCTTCCAGTTGCGGAAGACGATGGCGACTTCTACAATGCCCAACCCTCCAACATTGAGATTTGAGAATGGGAGTAAGCTAGTTCCTGGTGATCGGATTGGGACCATTCAGCAAGTGCTGCCAGGAATTGGGACGTACGCGAAAGGGGGCAACGTCTATGCCAGTGTATTGGGCCATATGGACACGTCTCCCTGCGACGATCTGGAAGAACCACAATTCACAGTGTCGGTCCAACCACAGCGTCCTCTGGCATCTCTACAAGTCCTGTCGGTGGGACAAGTTGTCCTGGCGCGTGTCTTGCGGGTGGCAGCACCCCAAGCCACAGTGGTGATTGTTGCCACGGCACAAGGCGGTCGCTTGAGTAGTGCATCGGAAGGCTCTATTCCACGAGAAGAATGCGTCAAATCGGGTGCCGTCACGAGAGAAGTTCACGAATGCTTTCAACCCGGTGATATTGTCTTGGCCAAGATTTTGTCCATTGGCGATACCCGGCGCTATGTGATGACCACTGCCGAGGCAGAATTGGGTGTCATTCATGCTGTCTGTCACTCCAGTGGGAAACCCATGATCCCCTGCAGTTGGAAAGAAATGGAATGTCCTGACACAAATGTCAAGGAATTGCGCAAATGTGCCAAGCCAAGAAAAGTGATGGCAGTGGCTGCTGCTTTCGCTGATTCTTGAGGCAGCTGCAGGGAGCAAAAAGGACGGAAGATGCCAAAATTGAAGCACCAGAAATGGTGCCACAACATGTCATTGAGCCGAAAGAATTTTGCATGGATATCCGGGGAAGCGGATTGGGTCTCCAGTGCTGTTTTATATTGAATAGATTGGATGCTTGTCTGTCAACTCCATGTCTGGCTTTCCAGCAGTCGTTCACTAGCAATAGAGGCTACAATAAGCATCCCTTCCATTGGCAGCAGAATGTGAAGCGGGAAAAACAGCCCCTCTTGATCGATGGTGTCGATATGATAGTGTAATTTATCCTTGGAGTGCAAGCAAAGCTTGGGCGGTGCTGTGCAGGAAATAATATCCAGCTACCTATCCAGTTAGTGTAGTTGATGCGTTTGTATTAAAACGCTATGAGTGTTGCTTGCTGTGCGTTGCAATACTGTAGTCGTGGGACAAATTGCGGGAGTTTGAAGCATGAGCAACTCTAGCTGGGCCCCCCGTGCAAAGCTAGTTGAAGGGGTATGCATTGGGGTCGCGTGTAGTGTAATGCGGAAGTCATACATCACCCGGTGACTGGCTCGACAAAGGTCTCGTTGCTGGCATTTCGCTCGGAACTCCCTCCTCGAGGGCGCGAAGATCCACTGAAGACATCCAACCGCGATTCTTTGTCGTCAATCAACTGTACGTGGCCTGCCTTTGCTGTGGCGACCCCCGCCCATGCTGATGCCAATGTCTTTCGCATTTCAGGGAGGGCACCATTGGTCGGCCTCGACAGGTCCCTAGCCAAGCATCACCCGATTGTGCGACCTAGCTACACCCCGGAAAGAACAGTTCGAATTATACCCGAGGTGGTTCAATTACAACCGAGTCAGGAAAAGGCTGTTCGCAGTCGCTGTAGTCGCTGTCGTCATCGAGGACATCACTGGAGTTCCATCGCAAAGGATAGCGCGGTTCTGAGTCGATGGATGCCCGCCGGGCACGATTCCTTTGAGGACAGTTCTGGGTTCTGTCATTGTCGTCATTGTCATTCATGCCAAATTCTATGTCAGGGCTCAACCTGAAAGGCCTATGGGGGCCCGCGTCCGAGCTACAGGAGGATGGAAGATGAGTGTCGACATTTTTGCAGTTGACAGTTTGTTCTTCTAGATCCAGAGTTGTTGTGTGTGTGGTTGCGACTGCGCTAGCTGCAGATCTCTTTACAACAAAATGATCACCTTGCCCCTCAGAGTTAGCAGCAGCTTCCACAGGTGATTCAAAACATTCTGGAATGGATGGTGGTGATTCGGAGGAAGTCGTGGAGGCAGAGCATGTGCAAAGAGAACCATTGCCGTCCTCTTCTAGTTGGTCCAGCATGACTTTTGAATGCCTGTGCGTTTTCGCTGGTGTGGTCTCCGTTGAACTGCCGTTGGCTTTGTTGTTCTGTATTTTGTCACTGTCATTATCGTCACTGTCATCCGTGCCTAATGTAACCTCAGAACTAATCCTGAGAGGCCTTTGGGGTAATGAGTCAGAGCCGCAGGAGGATCGAAGAAGAGAGTCTCTGCCTCTGCCTTTGTATGTGCCAAGTTGGGGTTCAAGATCTGGTGTTGCTGTGTTCATGGTTGTGCCTGCTGTCCTTTTGTTGTTGTCCGCAGAACCCTCACCAATGGCAGCAGCAGCAGCAGCATCCACAAGTGACTCCAAACCTTCTGGACTAGAGGTTTCCAAGTCTAAGAGACATGGCTTGTGTTGTATTTGTTGTGCAGATGCAACCTTGTGATTCATCATGCGTTCCACGTTCTTGGTTGATGTGATCTGCCCTGGGCTGGAGTGCATCCGGCTGTGCTCATGATGACTCAGCCTTCGACGATGATGATTCAGCGACGATGTAAGGGACAATGCCATTTCTTCGTCCTCTGGCGCCCGCTGCTCCAAGTCCTCGTCTTCGTTGCGAGACCACGACGACAAGTCACTCAATAGGGTTTGTAGGCTGATGTGCCAATTCTCATCTCCGTCTTCCTGTTGGGATGAGGAACTTGGTGGCAAGTTGTCTGCCAGTTCGTCTTCTGCTTCATCATCATCATCAGAAAAAGACTTGTCGGAGTCATCCGAGAAGGAACGTCTAGGAACCAAAGGTGGTCGGTCGGATGAAATCCCTTCTTCCGAGGCAGAGTGATGAGGACTGGAAAAGTCCACCTCGGAGTTCTCATCAATCTCTTCCAATGTAATGGAGGAAACGAGTCCTCCAAAAGAAGATTCCTTCTTTCTTCGTTTCCGTCGCTTCTTTGAGGGAGCGTGTCTGCGACTTGAAGTAGTACTGTGGTTGGCATTGGAAAGTAGTGATGACTGGCTCAGTTTGGTCAACGTGTGTTGGGTAGTGCTCGAGGTACTACCGTCACCAAGATCTACATTGGAAGCGCTCTCAACGTCTTGGTCGTCTCCTTCTAATCCTTCCTCTTCTTCATCGTCATCCTGGCCTTGTTGCGGGTGATGTACACGCTGGTTGTCAACACCGGACCTTGCCAGATGATGCTTTCTTCTCACAGCATCCGCCATGGAACTCAATACGGAAATCTCCAATCGTATCCGAAGACAATACACAAATCCCTTGATGCAGGTGGAAGGCAAATCCCCTATAATGAGATTGAAGAGTACCGTGGCAATGTCACAGAATCCCACCAAGACCAAGACGGCGATGCCTTGTCGTTCGACGGCAGTCCACCGAAACTTCCACATTTTGACAATAAAGGCTCCGCTGAGACAAAACTCAATCAGTCCCCAAAGAGCAATTTGGAGAGGTTCACAGATGGCGGCGGCGCGTTGCGTCCAATTGTATCCTCCTTCTTCTTCTTGGCCATAGGAAGAATTTGCCACGGTCCAATAGACACAAATAAAGAGCGAGAATGGCAACATGATGTAGTTGATCCACAAGAGTCGGCGCCAAGCTAAAGCTGGTCGCTGAAACGTACAGGAGAGCTTTTTGCTCACCAACAACACACTGGAATGAGTCATGAAGATCCAGTTGAACACAATATATGCCATGAACCAAAAGTCGTGATTGGGAGCCATCAGAACGTTGACAAAACAAGTCACTGTTTGAATGAGACTCGTCACGGATGCCACTACCACAATCAGGTTGTATTGACTGACGCGTTTACCGCGCGTTTGTTCCTGCTGGACTACCCATTGCAAACTGCTCCCCGTCAATATCGACGCGAGCACGGTAAACACAAACAGGCTCTGGTTCAATGGATTGATTTCTACTAGTTGGACTTGCAAGGCTTCGCTCATGATGGTACTACATGTATTGTTGTTGCGTCCATGGAATTGGAGTATGGTTCCTGCCGGTGGTACCGCAAGGGCGTAGAAATTACTGTTACAACTCTGTTATAGATCCACCAGCCAGCCATTGTGGCATTGTGGCGATTGAAGTTCAATCCTGCAGGACATGCAAAAACACTCGAAGAGGAGTCCCAGAGGCGATGTCGCTGTAACAGTAGAAATTGCCGGTCTACGGGAGGGCAGTTTCGATGTGATGATCTGATGAAGCGCTTCTCGCAGAAGTCGGGCTTGCATCTTGCAAATCCCCTGCTTATTTAGAGGACGAGTGCACTTCAGCCAATTCACGCAGCGTTCCATCGATGTCGGCAGTAGAGGGCATAGGGGCACAAAGGGCGTAATTATGGCTATGGTACCGTACGCTCCAGCCTCCAGCACGTGGTACGTGACATTACCATGCTTCCGAAAACACAACAGAAGGCCTGGTCTAAAGTATTAAAAAAATACTAGTAATAAGAGTCCAGCAAAAGCTGCCTCCCCGCTTTAGGGCAGTGGCTGTGAGTGTCCATCGTGAATGTGCTTTTGGCCTCTTTGGCTCCTAATCTGAGAATACATACATAGTACGAGTTTAATAAAGGAAGTGGGTGAGACACGTAGAAAGTGTACCAGCGCTACAGCCCAAAAATGGACCAAAACCGTCTATAAGCAAATGACTGTCTCAATGTCCGATTGACCCATAAGTAGATTAATATGAAATCGACCTCAAGTACCATTGACTAATAGCACGTTACCCATACTGACCACATGATTTAACATCACATACCCTATGTTAAACGTGTATTTCATTTTCGTTATACTTTTTGTGAGATAGTTAAATATTTTGGTCCATTATTGAGTCCCGTTAACTCAGAAAATAGAGAGTGAGACAGAAGGTTTCCGATATTGTACTGTTTTTGCTATAGTATCGCTGATGTCTCAAAGCGATGGACCAAAACCGATTTTGTACCTGTACGTGCAGTCCCTTCTTGGCTCCGCTACGCTGCAGCGCATGGAAACTGTTGGTGCGTTCATGCAGAAGTATGAAGAGTGGTCTGAAGAGGACGCATTCTCCGCCATCCGCCGCCGATCCCCTGAGCTCTTCCTCGAAGTTATCTGATGTTTCACCCCTTTCACTTTGCTTGAAAAGCGACCGGATGATCGATGGGCTGGGAAAGATCCTGATCTGGTTTGGTCGTCGCCTTTGCACCGAGTACATTTCATTCCTGATGACATCGTATCGAAGCACTGTATGACCGCTAGAGCTCCCAATTTGACACGGCCAGCAAGTGCCCTGCACACCGCAAAAATCTGGTGTGCTGGAATCTCCTCGCATTTATCCAGATTCGATTCAGTTTTACCAATGACAAATCTTTCAAGCCAAGCGAAACGCTTTTTTAACAACCCTTGAATGCAAGAAAGTTCCTTGCAGCACGCCAGCTCCAGCTTCAGCGCCTTCAGATGTACCATGGACATGGCTGCTTCCTCAAGCCCATCCAGCCTTCCCAAGCTCGACCTCGAAAGTATCAGCTGAAGATCCTGGAGACAGAGTGGGGCCTTGGATCCGGCGTATTGCGGCGCAGCCACGTCATTTTCAACGTGCCCACGCCACAAGTTCAGAAACGACGGCAAGGAAGCGCCGAGCAGCTTTGCTTCATCCTGGAACTTATCCCAATCATCAAACGACAATGCTGGATGCTTTAGATTGGGATAGTCCAATAGGGCCGCGCTCATTCGTTCTCCCACCTCGAAGGCACGTCGGTATGCAATCGGCACGAATTTGCCACGGATTAGCGCATTCAGTTTATCATATGCACAGTGTGTTGTTGCTGTTATAGCCGTGCTCAATTTTCTCATGTGGACCCCACAGATAGAGTTCAAGATGTGGGATGACGAGAGTGGCGTTGGCGGAAGAGAATTCAGTTTGTAGCACTCGGCGGGAAGCCTCAGACGAGAAACTCGTTTTGCGTGGCCCGCCACGAGTCAACCCAACTCCTCGAATCGACTCCCGTTGTTCGTTGTCTTGATCCACTCGAACAGCACATCAAGCTAACTCTTTGGTTGACCCACCCGCCGCCCCGGTGGTAGGAGAGTCGATTGGTATCATTTGGTCACACTTCATGCACGAGTATTGCGCCCTCTGGGGGTGAGCTCAAGCAAGTGCTGGTGGGCTCTTCCCTCAGTCCCGCACGACATTGATTGGCTTGCCATTGAGAAGTGATCCAGCAAATGCACGGAATGCTTGTCCTTCGCCGTGTGGGATACCCGACGACACAATGACACCTCCAGCGTGTGTCATGTCCTCAAAGTTGTCGTCTAACAAGGTCTCGTCGTCAGAGTCTTCGTTGGCCACCGACAGGGCTCCGTTCTGGCTTCTCGAGAGGGTGATGGATCCATTCAAAGTGCCGTCCTCACTCAATTCGGCTATGAGCTCATGTTCTTTTAAAGGTGGCATTCCCTCAGAGAATGCGCCTATATGACGAACAGTGCCATCGGAAAGGAGCTCCTTGCCAATTCCATGCGGTTTGTCGTCTTGCCATTCTCCTTCATAAGATCCGCCATCTTTCCAGAACGCTGTGCCCTTGCCATGTCTCTTCCCATTCTGAAATTCCCCTTTATAGGTGGTGCCGTCCGAAAACACACGTGTTCCTGTACCATGCATCTTGTTATCAGACCATTCTCCATCATAGTATGATGCATCTTTGTATGTCATCCTCCCTTGCAGTAGTTTCCCGTCGTTAAATTCCCCTTCAAACACACGGCCATCCAGATAGACGGACCGACCTTCGCCATGAGGTTTATTCCAAGCAGCCCTTTTCGATTCCCTTGAAGCACTTCCGGTGTATGTCATGTCATCCAAGCCGAGTTGCTCCACAATACGGACAGGCATATTCTTCCACCATTCGCCCTCGTGTCTCAATGTGCCATCAGGCCTGATCTCTTTGCCTTTTCCGTGCATTTGTCCATTTCGCCATTGACCTTCAAACCAACCACCATCAGCCCACATCATTTTGCCTTGCCCGTCGAACTCCCCTTCCTTAAATACACCTTTATAAGTACCACCATCGGTGAAGACGCAAACCCCTCTACCATGCCTCATACCATCGACCCAGCTGCCTTCATAAGTGGACCCATCCGCATAAGTCATTGTCCCCTCAAACATCTGCCCCCTTATGTACTCCCCCTCAAAGACGCGTCCATCCGCAAAGCGCATTGTTCCCATGCCGTGCTTGTGATCGTTTCGGAGCTCCCCTTCATAGAGATCTCCATCGGCATTGCCGAGTCTGCCTCTTCCAGTCCATCTTCCATGCTTCCAGTCGCCTTCATACCACCTCCCATCTGGATAATCCAGGCGACCCTTGCCATGTGGAAAACCAGTAGCCCTGGACATAGTGCCAGTATAAGTTCCTTTTTCTTTATAAGGATCAGCTACCACTTGCTCCTTTACTTCATATAGCACATGCGGATCACCATTTGAGGACGCTTCATATTCGCTGGCTTTGCTGCCTTTTTGATACACACTCGCTCCTTCGTCTAAAAAGGTCTCGTCGTCAGCTTCTTCGTTGGCCACCGACGGGGCTCCGTTTTGCAGTCTCGCAGTTCTCGTGGACCCAACCTGCGTGTCGTCCTCACTCCATTCTTGGTTGATATCGCCTGAATCCCATTCAAACTCAGAATCATCCAGCAATCCATTTAACGGCATCTCTTTGTGTCGCGACCGCTTGCGGAGATTCCGTTTGCTTTGTAGTGGCTGGATCATCTCTCTCAGTTGGTTGACTTGAGCATGCTGCAACTCTAGTTGTTGCGACAGATCAAACTGCAGTTCGCGCACAATCTCATTCAGCTTGATTATGTGCACCTTGTATGATTCAAGCTCTCGCTGTAGAGGCTCTATTTCGTTCTTCTGGGTGCTCTCCGGGCATGCTGCCAAGTCAAGAGATACGGCCGCATGTGTCCTTCCGATGTGTTTTAGTGGTGTGCTAGTGACAGAAGTCGTTTGCTTCAATTCTAAATCCTCTGTTTGCTGCGTAATTGTAGGGGTCGTGTTGTTTGTGGCTGCAATACCTGACTGTCTAGTTTCGGTTTCCTCTGGTTGTGTGATGGCGGCACGAGTGTCCCTCAAGTCGTTCGCCTGGGAATCCTTGAATGAAGACGACGTCGATCTTGGATCAACTTCCCCTGCCTGTTCTGCGAGTGCCGGGGGTGTCTTCTTCGATCCAGCCGCATTTGATTTTTGTTTGTCCTCCCTGTTCTGTGGTTCCGTTGAAGGCTGTATGGTGGTGAATTGAATATCGGACGGAACGCTTTCGTTGCAATCAGGTTCTTCCTTTTGGCGTCGCCTTGGAGGCCTCTGTGACCGTTTGCTTTGTGAGGACTTTTGCGATCGTTTTGTTGAGTGCGAGGATCGTGATGCCCTCGAGCGAGAAGATCTTGATGTCCTGGAGTGACAAGAAACGTCGTCCAAACCCATATCGACGCTGCTCAGCAGCGTTGATGATCCGATGCTGCCACCTTCGTCCATTGCCTGACGGTGAGCAAGAAACTCCAGATTGTCAATAGCTGCCAGTGTATCTGGATGGTTGGCTCCGAGAACCTCCTTTCGTTTTTTACAGCATTCGGTCAATAGCTGAGATGCCTTCTCGTAGTCCCCCTGCTTCCTTTCAAGCGACGCCACGTTGTTCATCAGTGTCAGCGTATCAGGATGATATTCTCCCAGCATCTCTTTCCTTTTCATTAAGCACTTTTCTAGCAGCATTTGGGCCTTGCCATACTCTTCTTGTCGCATGTACAAGATCGCCAAGTTGTTGAGTGAAGTCAAGGTATCTGGGTGGCCCTCTCCTAAAACCTCCACCCGGCTTTCCAGACACTTTTCGAGATGAACCTTGGCATGTTCATATTGCTTTCTTTGCATGTATAGCGTGCCCAGTCTGTTCAATGAGGATAGGGTATCCGGATGGTCCTCCCCTAGTAGCTTGCGCCGTTTGCCCACGCACTGGTGCAGGAGATCATGTGCTTGTTTATCCCTCCCGTTCGCGCAACACCAACGCGCCAACGTGTCCATGGAACGCACCGTGCCCACATGATCTTCTCCCAGAGTTGCTTTCCTCCGTTGCAGGCACTTGTGTACGAGCCGCTTGGATTGGTCGTAGCGGCCCAAATCCATACACACATTGGCCAGCTTATCGACATAGTGAAGCGTTCTCGGGTGGTTCTTCCCGAGCTTTTGGACAGCTTTCGTGGCGCACTCTTTCAAGCATTCCTCGGCATCGTCGTATTTCCCTTGTCCCTGATACATCAGCCCGAGGGTTGCAATGGACTGTAGCATGGTTTCTGTGGAGACTCGAATAGCCCAAGAACGATACTGCTCAAAGACCATGGCGTTGATCTTGGCAAACCCGATAGTCTTTTCAATGACTTGGAAGATCTTCTCACGATCTTCGGTTTTATAACACTGGCTCTTTTCAGCCCTTACGGTTGCTAGCATCTTTTTCATGGCCCCCTCTGTGTCATTAGCAACGTCATTGACAAACTGAAGGCGATCTTGTTCGCTCATGGCAATCTCAAAGGTACAGCCCTGCGCTGCAGTGGAATAAACTTCCCAAATGCACCAGGCTCGTGTGAAGGGAAGAGGATCATTCCAGGGGCTCATGACCATGACAGTATGCCCAATCTTGGCCACGGCAGTTTGGAAGGTCTTGTGGAACCATTCAAAATCCAGAACATCTAGTTTGTGCTGATTGTTACAGAAGAGGCAGAACCAGATAATGGGATCCTTGTTTTCTTTACTGGATCTTTCTTTCATGTGTGTGACAATCGCATCCATGACATCCAGGAATTGGCATTGCCATGCATGAGAAATAAAGACGTTCGCCTTGCCCACGGCGGGATGGTTCTGAAGCTCCAGATATTCGCAGAATGATGTCTTGGTATCTTCTGTCCAAGGCTTGACAAACTTGTTGCAGACATCGGTTGTCGTCAGGCCTTCTAGCTCACTCTTACCACCGCATGCCTCTATAAACTCTTCGAGGTAGGAAAGGCGAAGCCCAGTCAAGGGAATCCCTTCGTCTCCACCCGTGTCTTCCGTCGCTTCAGTCTTGGCGGTGTCCGCCTTGGATTCGTCCAATCCCTTGGATTGCTCACTGCCCATTGTCTCTGCCTTTGTGTGTTCGTGTCACCATTGGTTTCTTTTGGCTGAGAGAGAGTGTTTGTGCATTAGGCATAATAACAGCAAATGCAGTGGGACACCGGTATCACTGCCACACGCAAGGTATCATAAAGGGATACCCTTTGCGGCAGTTTGCTGAAATGGTGCAGGTTTCAAATCCGCGTAAAGCTATGCTTTGGAAAAGATACCTTCAGAAAGATACGGTACCGGTACAGCCTACATGTACAAATATATGATACTATAGCTGGTATGGTACCGGTGGTACCATGTTGAAGTTATATGAGAGCGCTAAACAGTACCCCGTTTTGCAGTCGTGGAAGCAGCTTTTTAAAACACCGTTCTGGCAGCACCTGCGCCCAGTCGGAAATTCTTGAGTGTCAATTCTTTTTTTTTTAAAGGAAAGGATCTAATAACCTGTACTAGCTAGCTAGCTACTGGCCAGAGCTAGCTAGTAGAGTGGGTGCATCTACCGAAGCCAGCAAGGCCAAGGCAGCAAACAAGAGTCCAAATTCAGGACGGGGTTGGGTGGAATGATGAATCAGGGGTGATAACTTTTATTAAAAATTTGAGGACCGGTGCATGGTCGTCCAAATTCTACCGACGAGCCACCGTTAGTGGCTACGACTGCCGGGCCGGCAAGTTCTTAGCTGAAGTTACAGTGTGACAGTGTGACTAGACTGTATCCAACACGAAGAGACCGGTTTGTCTCAGAAGCCATTGAGCCGCAACATCGGAGTACATCAACTGCGTCGCATCAAAGTAGTTCGGTTCTGCAGACCAACCCGAACAACACCCTAGTTATTGACACTGCCCGAGATCGGCTGGCTTCATGGAGCTTGCCATGTTGGGATCAGGTTCGGACGGAAAATGATTGTTCGTCCTGCTGGTCACAAGATAGGGATGATACCCCGTTCTGGCTACCAGACTACCTGACCTGTTCACTTCCTTGATTTTTGAACCACGCGGATGACTGCAGTTCGTTCTCTAGTAGCCTCATTACTGCTGCGCCCACTCGGGAAACTCCTCTGCCGCCACCCCCATGACGGCAGGAATGATCGTATACGTTGCCCCCAATAACAATGCCGACCCGATCACGTTCAAGAAGACCCCCGCCTTGTTCATTTCCGCCATGGGCAATCGTCCGGTACTAAAGACGACCATGTTGGGTGGGGTGGCAATCGGCAAGACAAAGGCACAACTGCAAGCCATGGTGGCGGGAATCATGAACGTGTAGGGACTGGTTTGGGTTGCTACCGCCATGGATGCGGCAATGGGGATCATAATGTTGGATGTCGAAGTGTTGGACGTGAGTTCGGTCAACCATATAATCATGGTAATCATGAGAAAGACCAATCCGACCACTTCCAGACGAAGCGTTGCCAGTTGTTCACCGAGATATTCCGACAAGCCACTGTCGACAAATGCCTTGGCAAGGGCGAATCCACCGCCGAGGAGAAAGACGACATCGTATGGCATTTTGTTGGCTGTTTCCCAGTTGAGCAGTGTGGTGTCATTCAATTCGTTCTTGTTGTCGTGTTCATTGGTCAAAAGACGTTCGTCTTCTTCTTCGCCATGGCCATGGCTCGAAGTGTTGGTCGTCGATCCCACTTCTTCATCTTCCCCATCATCATCTGCATCCTTGATAGTATCATTGCCCTCATTATTACTACTACTAATATCCAAATGACACGACCGGGCCGGACACACAAAGAGTACCAGGACAATCATCATGCCCGTGGTGGCATCGGAAATGTAGGAGGGATCGGGAAACAAATTGGCCCATCCGGGAATGTGCACGTGCTCTCCCAAGTCAATGTCACTGCGAAAGATCCACAGCAGACAGAGTGTCACAAAGAGGGTACAGACGGTGATTTGTTCTCGTGTCCAGGCACCCAGTGCCACATACGTCTGCTGAAACAGCGTTGGATCGATCGGTTCTGTTTCGTTGTCGTCGTGTCGCCACGACAAGTACCGGACACAGAGATAGATCCAAATAATGGCAAAGAGTACCAATCCCGTCGGCAATCCAAAGGCGGTCCAATGGGCAAATGTCAATTCGGGTGCACCGGGAAAGAGGAGTTCCAATTGTCGATGAAACACGAGATTGGGTGCCGTCCCAATCAATGACGACATGCCTCCGACATTGGCGGCGTAGGCAATCCCCAACAAGAGGGCGTGGGCAAATGGATCTTCTGGTTGTTTTGTAGTGGATTGTTTTGCAGATTGTGATGATGATGATTCTTGTAAAATGGTACATACGGAAATGGCATTGGGTACCATCATGAGTGTGGTGGCAGTATTGCTGACAAACATGCTCAAGAAAAAGGTGGCGGCCATCATTCCGAGCAACAGCAAGGGCGGCCGGGCGCCACACCATGTCAATAGTTTGAGAGAGATGCGGCGATGACACGCCCATCGTTCCAATGTGAGTGCCAGGAGGAATCCGGCAATGAGCAGCCAAATGGTATTGTTCATGTACTGCAATGCCACATCGGACGAATCGAGAATGCCAAAAAGAGGAAAGAGCACGAGTGGGAGCAACGCCGTGACGACAAGTGGAATTATTTCCGTCAGCCACAGTGTGGCCATCCAAATGGCAATAGCCAAGGTTTGATTGATTTGACGATTGTCGTTCATTGCTGTTGGGACAACAAAGCAGAGAATAAAGCCGGTCAAGATACCTACGATGGTGACACCTAGTTTCAAGTAGGAAATTGCAGTGCTGCTGCTATGGTTGTCTTGCTCTTCAGACGTTGTTGTCTCTTCCCCTTCCGCCGTGAAGAATCCCGAGTCGCCGTGGGTGTTGGCACCACCATTCATGTGGACGCCATTGGACTCTTCAAAACGATCAGAAGAATCATCATGGGATTTTGACGTTGGTCTGGTGGTGTTAGACGTTGGCGTCATGTTGAGGGATGTGGTTGTTTCCAGTTCGATTTGGGAATAGCTTATGGAAGGATGTGGACCTATTCTTCTGCGGCTTTTGCTGGGCCAAAAGCTTTCACTCCTGTGAAGAATTGCAGATATCATCTTCTCTACTCTACTCAGACACAGTATATCATACAGTAAGAGGACCAGTGAGCATGGATACAGACGCTCTTCATGGACAGAGACAAGGAACTCAAGGGGATGATCACTGGGTTGCTCTCAATAATTGTTGTTGGCTTGTGTGGTTTGTAAACAAGCAAGGTTGTGGTTGGTTTTCGAATTGCGAAGCGGAAAAAGGTCGGTCACAAGAATGACTCAATACACGGATGGAAGATTTAAAGCACACTTTTGAAGCCTTTCTACGTTTAACCATAACCTTGTGAGACGTGTTTCTGTCGTGCTGTCACGCGAGGTCTCAGCCAAATGTGCACAGCAGCTTGCACAGCTCACAAAAATCATCACCCTCTCTCCACTCACACGCAACACAGCACAACACAACGTACAGAACATATCACAAGAAACATGACAAGCCGTCTGGAAGATCTTCCCCAGGATGTCTGCAACAAGATCTTGGACTTTATTGGTTGGGATCACGACTGTGTGTCCTTTCAGTTGGCCTGCAAACATCACTACAACCTCATCTTCCATCGTACTTTCAAGGATGGAACGCCCACTCTCCGACAAGGGCAACGACAGCGTACTACGTTGGCCTATGAGAAAACCAATACTTACAATCTCTTTCATGTCCATCAATTGCAACCCTTTCGTTTCCTGGTAGATACTCGCACGTTGGGAGGACAGCTGCAAGTTGAAATTCAACTCGGTAATCATGTGTGGACGGAATGCGACAATCGGAAACAACAAGACGATGATTATTTGGAGAGCGATGATTTGGATAGTAGTACAACGCTGACAACTCCTGTAGGACCCACCTATCCAAGGATACGAGTCTTTCGCAAAGACAAGACATTGACTCCCCGAACGATCTTTCATTATGATCACATTCTGGGCCGCCAATGCTCCTTCATGGGGACCTACGGGGACGATCCCACGGATCCGAGAGCAGCGGATAGAGCCGAGGAAATGGCGCAGGTGCTCCATCTTTGCTTGAATTCCCTTTCTACGGTGGATCCTCCTTCCAATAGAATCAATCAGTTTTTTCGAGTGTATCCACCGGCGGGATACTTGCTCCGCCTCCTCCCCAAACCTTCCCGTCATTGTTTTCCGAACAGCATTGATTGGAAGCAAGGCGATCGGCCGTTGTCATCTAGCAGCATTGTCGAACGGGACTATCAAGCTGCCGTCACGTGGGGCGAATGGTGGCAGACTTTGCAAGATGCCAACTGGTATGAACCGGTGCAAGCCTTTGATTGGGAGGAGCTTTCGTGGTATACTTCTACTACTACTGCTGCTGAACGACGATCTGGAAGAGAAGAGGAGCATGGCAGCAGTCGAAAGCGTCCAAAACTGCTCTAGATACCGTAGGGACTTGAATCATCTGGTGGAGCTTTGACTGTCGGAAGCATGTTATGCATCATTGCGAGGCTGCGAGGCGACGACCAACCGCTACCGTCCTGTATCCTGGAACGTGATGCCGGTGACTCGGTGCGATACAAAGTAACTGAAAACCAAAGAGAAGTAATAATGCTCTCGAAAACCATCCTCTAGTCTGGCTAGCTAGCCTGGTAGATCTACAGAGAGTACGGTACAAAGTGACCTTCCGGTAGGTAGACTACAGCCAAAACGCAGCTCGCACAAAAGTCGACCCCAAAAACCAAGAGACAGCCTGGCTTTCTACACAGCACACCTGGGTGATACTCGCTTCGAACTGCCCGTGCAGTTCGCCGGTCCCGGGAGCTCTGGCAGGTACAGAGGCCCATAGGGTAGAGCATGATTACTCCTTTGACCTGGAGTCTTCCACAACTGTTAGTACCCTCACAAACATCAATTTCAGCCTACCTCTAGCTAGTGAAATCCCACACTTCTCAACTGCTATGTACCTCTACCTAGCTACGGTAGCCTCCAACATCATAGTTCCTGGTCTTGCTTGGCTTGGTGCTCTTCTTCTCAGACACCATACCGAAAGGCCAAGAGGATCCACACATACATCCCCATCTCTGGGAAACTGCAACTCCCACCGAATGGTCGGTAACGATAAGCTCCTTTGCGGACCTGTGAAATGACCTTGATGAAAGGCGGGTCATCTTTCTCTCTCACCATCATGTAGCAGTTTAACTGTATGACGTACCTATACCGACCGGTTGGTATCAAGTGAGAGTAAAGAGGTGAGGAGCCATAGAAATTGCAACCAGAAAGAGTTTGACCATCGGAGCTTCAGCATTAGTTGCGCCATAGTGTGCCATGTCTAAAGCTGCCGCTCCGATGGTCAAAAGTCTTCTTGTTGTTGATTGCATGGCTCCTCACCTTCGTTGCCATGTGTGTCATCGGAGGGAGCCTCTCTTTTTGCCGGATTCGGTGTCAAGAATTTTCCATTTTTCTTAAGTGGAAGAGCGAGCCGGTGCGCCGGGCAGGTCAAATCCGGTCACAGATCAAATTTCACCTCACAAAACGCATGTTTATCAGTCTCCGATCCATGTTTGTTGTCATCCTTTCGATACATTCTTCAAGGGATTGAATATTTCCATAGGTGTGCATCCCTTTCAGCGACCATGGGTATTGGTAGAGAGTAGTAAAACTGTACTAGAGGACGACTCATCTCAACGCCAAAAGATCGAATTTCTTTCGTGTTTGTGGATCGATCGAACGCACTCCTTCACTTTTCAGCTCATAAATTCCGATTCCATACACTTTTCAGCGGAAGCGCTGCTTCTTGGGGTGGGGATCTTTGTTTTCGATTGGTCAATCCTTGACAATGGCCATCTGCCGTTCGATTTGAGCCTATCGATTCACTTCTCCATTGTTCTTCCACTGCTCCGTCGTTCTTCCGGTCATTGCTCCGTCGTTCTTCGATCCAACATTGCCTTTCTTCCGACGTGCTCCTTCCACGCTGAGACCTTTTGCTTGACTCGCTGGATTCATCCACCATGCCGCCCAAGAAGAGGAGCTCCTTCACTCAGTCCAAGAAGGGAGCCAAGCCCCGAAGCAGGTCCACATCTCCTGTTCCACCACTAGTGTCTCCACCGCCGACTGCAGCACGACTACCAACCACCAGGCGTCAAGCCAGCCGAACTCCTCCACCATCACCCGGCCATGGCACCAACCGCCGCAGTCCACCCAAAACAAACAAGAAGAATCGCCACAAGCCTCGCAATGAACCTGCTGCAAGAACTCCAACTCCTCGCAAGGGTGCTGAAAAGCGCAAAGGGATCTCACCACTTGACAATGACAACCTTGTGGCCCGCTCGGCTGACCTCATGGATTCATCTGACTCCACCGCTGATGTTGACAGGAGGACTGCTGCTCGAGCTGATCCACAAGCTACCTGGGACTTGATTGGTGCCGACGAGGAACCATCCAAGCCTGACGACGAGGACGAGGAGTTCGTCTACGAGGATGATCTTGACCTCCTGAGCGAAGATGACCTGCTTGAAAAAGCCTTGGAAGAACTCGTTGAAGAGAGCATCTTGGACGAAGAAGTTTACCGTCGAATTGCGATTGCCTATGTCTACTACAATGTATTGGATGCTCCTCCTAGAGAAGAGTGGCAAGGTAAAGGAGGGACATATGGAAAAATCAAGCGAATCCTCAAGGTTCCTTCTGGAACGAAGATTGGTTACGTCTTGGATGATCTTCTTGATTGCGAAGACAAGAAATGCCGCTACACTGGCAAGCGCCAAGCTTTGGGTGAAACCCGTCCACCCAAGATTCCGAATGATTCTCAGGAGGCTCAGATCGTCGCGGATCATCTGGAGGTCGGCTTCAGCATCAGACAAGCCACCTTGCAAGTCAACCAACACCGGCGTGATAATGAGAAAGAGGAGCTTTCGATTTCCGCTGTCTGGCATCTCTCCAAGCGTCTCAAGCCAAAGGTTACTCCCATCCGACGTTTGAAGCAAGGCAACATGGACAAGACATCGACTTGGGCCACGGCTCGTTATGGATGGGTCATCCAACTCATGCTTCGAATTGGAATGGAGGATCAGTTGACGGATGAAGCTAAGGAGTTCATGGATTCGCAAGGCAAGGATGGCAATCGTCCTGAATGGTTCTTGACGGATAAATTGACCAAGATTGACCTTACCAAGGTCGGTTTCTGGGATGAGACTCACCGCAAGTGTGTCATTGGGGGCGGGGCTGCGCAAGCTGGTCGCAAGTTCCATTTGAAGTTCCCACGTGATGCAAATGGCAAGCTGGATCCCAACGGTGAATACTCTGGCGAAGACCAAACCATCCTCAATGTCAAGTACGATGATGAGACTCGTGTCAGTCTGGGTTGTTCCGCCAACGCGACCGAGGGCCACAACATTCCTCTGTTTGATTACAGTGGCAAAACCTTGCTAACGTCCAAAGATTATGCAAGCCGGAAGAAGATGGAGATTGCCCGAGTCAGGTCTTTGACTGGTGAAAGGTCTGGCTGGATCAAGCGTGGTCGGGTGGCAGGCAAGCCTTACAAGATTGACCGGTTGGCTCCCAAGCGGATCCCATTCCTTGGAAAGGGAGCAGTCAAGAAGTTCAACGAATGCTCTCCTCCTATCACAACCTTTCGGAAATTGGCGGAGCTGACTGACAAGCGCATTACCGCTTTGGCAAAGAAGAAGGTCGCTACCAAGGCAAACCTTTTGGCTTGGAGGAAGGCGGCACAAGATGCCGAGGACGAACCAACAGCTTCGACTGATCACCGCAAGGCAGCCAACCCATACCAATCCCGTTGGGGTGACGATTGGGAAGAGCGGCTAGAAGGTTCTTCTGGAATGTCGCGGTATGTCTGTGTCACGACGATGGTGGAGCACATCTTCGAGGAAACGAAGGAGCATATGCAGGAGATCCACGGAGAAGACTGCGATGATTGGTGGGTCTATCACGATGCTTTGTCGCTCATGACTGCCACGACGACAAGGGCATGGATGGAGGAAAAGGGTTATCTCAAGCATTGGATCTTGCCAGAGTGTGGCCTCAACACCCACACTCCCAAGCACAAGCAGTACTATTCCAAAGCTCCAGTGGGAAACTCACCAGAGCTCATGCCTTGGGACTGCAGTTTGAATAAGGATTTCGACGATGCCATCAGCCACCACATCACGCAGACTCACCACTTGGCGGAGGATCATGAGTGCAAGTTCTCCTACACGACTCCAGTACGAGGATCTTATTGCTTGAGACGTGTCTACGAGTGCAATCCAAGGAGTGAACGAATCGTCCAGGATGTCAACCGATTCCCAAAACACCTTGTTCGTATCATGGAGTCAGAAGGATGTGTCGTTCGGGATATTGGGAACAGCAAGAAGGAAGAAGAGAGCTTGAGGGGCTTGCGGTCTGGAAAGAGGGGCCTGGCTGCTGCGGCTGCTGAGGAAAAGGACGGTGTCAAGGTTGACAGGCGTGGTGGTGCAAGGCAGAGGGATCCAAAGTCGAAGTCTTACTCTGAGACGGTTGTCCTCCATCCTGATGCGGTCAAGGGCAAGAAAGGGAGCATTGCGGCCTCTTTGGCTATTCACGCCACTAGTATTGAGGAGCCAAAGGAGAAGGATGTTGATGATCCGTCCTCATCTGAAGATGTGAGCTTTTGTGTTGCTGTTTGAACTGCTTTTCTATGGTCTTATTTCTAACTCCTCTGGAACTGTTGCCATTTTAGGATTCCAGTGAAGAGGATGAGGTGGATGAGTGAGTGTTGCAAGGCATGCAACAAAGGGGATTGTTGTGTTTGTGTTTGTGGGGTGTGTTTGGGTGTCTTTATAGTGAGTCTGTGGGCTTCACGGGAGAAGATCGTTCCCGACGGGAAAGATCGTTCCCGACGGGAAAGATCGTTCCCGACGGGAAAGATCGTTCCCGACGGGAAAGATCACGACGGGATCCGGAAGATCTTGATGGGCTTCAAGGAATTTATGGGGAACTAACAGGTCATGTCACCGACTTACTGGTTTGATGGGGGATTGCTTGTGAGAGAAAGCATCTCTTTACAGTGGTCAAACAGTGCTTCGGGGAATAACAGGCTGTTGTCTTTGTGTGGTGATTTCTTGGTTGTGGTCGTGATTTCTTAATTTCGCGGAAGTGTGACTTAGTGTGTTTCGAAAAAATGAGTGACCGGAAGCATGACTCGCGAGCCGAGCCTCAAAACTCGAACCACTTTTTCGCAAAATTTGAATAATCGCTTGAATAACATCGCAAAAATCATCATTTACCCCATTACTTCATGCTGCCGTAGAATCTGTTGTTGTTGAGCTATCAACCTATGCCCATAGGCTTATGATGTCCTTTCATCACCCTCTACAAGGATCCAGCAACAGTTGGTCACTATCGCCGAACTGAAATTTCAACTCTCACTTGATACCAACCGGTCGGTACCGTGGTCGATGACACTTCAAGATAGGAGATTTATGCTAATGACCTTCAAATGACTTGTGTAAAACCTGCCGACCATGTGTCACATCTTTTGTGCTCGTGAAATTGTGTTTTCTCGCATCTTTTTCCCACCGCCAAACTCTCACAATACTACTCTACCACATCCAGCCTCTTCCACCCCAAACAAACCTAGCTAGGAAGAGTAACTGCATTAGTAGCAAAGAGAGAAAATGTTTCGAATCAACAGTTCTGTGATTTTTCTGTTTGGAGTTCTTGCCTCGCTTGCCTTGTATTCGGTTCCATTGGTCTCGGCGCGTGTGGGAAGAAGAGGCGGATTGAAGGGTCGTCGCGTATTGGTTCCAAGAAATAGTCTTCAGGATGGTGCTGTAAGAAGCAGAGAAAACTGGGATAGCTTTCCATCAGGCCGCGGCCGACATCTCAAGTCAGCAATGATGAGTATGATGGGTATGGGAAATTCCACCATGAGCATGTCTGGAATGAGCATGAGCATGAGTATGTCCATGTCCATGAGCATGGGTATGTCCATGTCCAGCATGTCGATGAAGTCAATGATGAACATGAGCTCAGGAATGTCCAAGAAATCCATGAGCATGAAGATGGGTAGCAGCAGCATGTCGATGAAATCAATGATGATGATGGGTAGCAGCACTCAAAGCCCCACATCTTCGTCATCCTCTTCTCCTGGCCCGACGGGAGGCTCCAGTACAGTCAGCCCCACGGGGGCAGTGACAACTGGCAGTCCTACCATTGCGCCTGGTACCCCCACGGTGTCACCAGGGACCCCGGCTCCAACCACACCAGGAACTACTCCTGCTCCCACAACGGGAAGTACCACTCCGCTTCCGACTACTGCAACTCCTGGTACTACTCCTGCCCCTACTGTAACAACAACAACCACAATCCCAGGCACAACTGCCCCAAGAACCTCCACTGCAACCACCGCTCCCACAGGTGTGGTTGCAGCTGCAGCTCGTTCCTTTGCCAAAGGAGCTGGGTTCCCAGAAACCATCAAATTGGATGATTTTACCGCCACGGAGGATGATGGCACGGTTCGTACACTTCCAGTAGCCAGTAAGCTATCCTTTCAGTTCTTTCCAACCACGGGACGAAAACCCACCCAAGAAGAAATCAGCGAACTGGAAGATGCCACTCTATCCTTTTTCCAAAATGAATTGCAAAACAATCCCGCGTTCCAATCAACGTTCCAAGAAATACAGTTGACCAAACCCACTCCCAAATACAGTGCGAACGATCCCGACACGTTTATTCTCGAGTTTTTGGCATTGGTAAAGGTGGATGCCAACAATTCACAACGAATTTCGGGCCAAACAGTCTCCGACGCCATGGCTGCTTCGGATTATAGCACCTACATTAGTGCCTATGTGAAAGAGATGGGTCTGTCGAGTGAATTCTACCAGACGCAAGCGGTTCATTTTACCGGTATCGGTCGTGCTGGGCCGTAGTTTTGCTTGTGCATGCATGTATGTACCGAAGAAAGCTAAGTTTGCCTCCTTTTGGCAGTGAATGTAAAATTGTATTAGTAATTCATGGAGGAAGAGGATATTCCAGTGTACCGGTATGGGATTTTTAGGATAGTACAGTAGTAGCAGTCCACAGCAGCACAATCCAATCGGACGGCACCCGAGCGATGAACTGGTACAAGCAAGATGGAGATGGTTTGGTGGATCAGACTGAGTCACTCAGCATTCAGATTTTTTAAGATGCAGAAGATCTGCCCGATGTCTCAGGCTTGTGTAAATCAAGGAAGGTTTACTTGGCTGGCTCGTTATCATGCTTCTGCCACCCAAACGGGACAACACCAATGGGAGCAGAGCTGGCGGTACATGGGCAGTCTTGCACTTTTCTGCCACTTGATTGAGATGCAACAACTTCAGTGCCATCTTTTTCTGGTCAGGCGGTAGGAGGCCAGTTGTGAGGGTTTGGAATTTTGTTACGGAATCATTTGCTTTTAGAAATGCCTCCAAAATGCACCTTCTCTCCTGGACACTACCAGTGTTAGAAACACCCCACCAAATCTCCAAATCTTTCAACGACTTGAGACTCGTCAACGATTGGAGGCAGCCTCCATCCACATACGGAGCATGGATCCTTTCGATGGTCCATTGGGAATCGCATGGGACACATCCGCAAAGTGTAGCCAATCCACGAATTATGAGCTCATGCCTGGGAAGGCCCACTCCCACATCAAACGTTTGAGCCGCCCTGAGTGTGTCCAAGATCAAAGTATCGAGGGATGGGCTTTTCTTGTGAACAGCCTGGATCAGCTCTGGTGTCTGGGTCTGAATATCCAAGTGACACAGATCCTCCATCATTGGCAAACAGTGAACCAAGGTTTCTTCGAACAGGTCACCTTCGTAGCCTCTGGCTAGACTGATTTTTAACATCTTCAGCCTCATATTTACATCAAGAAATGCGTCCTCAAGAGCATCACAGGAAGATTCTGTAATATCACTGTTGCAGACAATGCCCAGCTCTTCAAGATTAGCCAGGAAAGAGAAATGCCGAGGATTCATGGAATCAAAGAGCGAGCTCGGTAATCCCAAATGCTTCACGCGCAGTCCCTGGTTGGCCTGAAAAGCGTCCAGAACGTGACACAAGATTGCCGTATGCTCGCCTCCTGTGGGGCATGAAACGTGTAATTCTTCTAGGGTGGTAGAGTTGGCTATCAGCTCTACGACGACCTCTCTCCTGGTCACACTGTGTCGGCCCACTCAAGGAGAGGAACAACGATTGAGTAGAGTTATTGTCTTTTGCAAGCTTTTTCATCTCTTTCCAGAATTCTGAGTCGTCCGCCAGTGAAGTCTCCCCGAAGGACTCGAAGTGAATTGTTGTTCTCAATCGATCTTGGAGATGGAGTGGTTTCTCAAGCCATTCAGCGAGACCCTCTCGGGGCCCGAGCCTCTTGCGTCTCCTCAAGGCCAACATGGATGTTTCCAATAAAGGGACGAACGCAGGGGTGCGTGCGAGCAGTGGACTTGTTGTCGCCTGGTCCATTGGGACTGAGAGAGTGCCACTCGGAACTTTTGAACATGCCATGTTGATGGCACTGGGGTGTGATTCTTGTTGATGACAAACTGTGGGGAGAGTGGGTGGCGTCAGTCGTGGTTTTCCAGACGTGTTTTTTCAGTGTGTCTGGTAGCTCTGTTGGGTTATTCAATGACCACAAAGCTTCGGAGTTCGCATGATACGGTAGGGTAGTAAGCTGCGGCAGCCAGTGAGGGCCTGGCTTGGCAAAGAAGAGGCAACTAGTTTCAGCATCCACCGGTCGACATGCAGGAATCTGCAACTTGTGATGTCCTCCTCACGTTGCGTGTTATGATGAGTCGAGTCTACATGGATGTGGCTTTGACAAGTAAAAGACACCTAACTAGTTTTATTTTGGTCCCAATCCCTGTTCACCACTGTTCACCAGCAACACCTTCATCTACATCTGGTTCTTCTAGCTTGTCCATGGCACTTTTGATGAGTTGGGAGTCCTTTGGATCCAAGTCCATGGCAGTAAGGAAAGATTTCATTGCTTCTTCCAGCCTTCCGCATCGCTTCAGCATTTTGCCAATTGCAAAGTGAACAGTAGCCTCACGAGGGGCAGCGTTGCGAACCTTCTCCAATTCACTCAATGCTTCAGCAGGGCGATTCAAGGCAGAAAAGATAGTGGCACGTTGGAACCTTGCCTGTGGGTTGCGAGGGTCGAGACGGAAGGCTTCTTCGAGTGTTGCCAACGCCTGGTATGCCTTCCCATTTGAAAACTGGGAGATTCCTAAATTGCACCGCAAAACAGAGCTCTGGGGATTGATCGACGCTGCCCTCTCAAAATGATACTCTGCCAGGTCATACTTCTCCTGTCGATGATAGATAGCTCCAAGTCCGTACCATGCATTGTAGTGACGATCATCAGATCTGATTGCGTTCCGGAAGCAAGCAATTGCCTTGTCGAAATCTTCCTGAGCTGTGAATTCGTATCCAGAAAGTGTATGAGAGTATGTGAAAGTGGGGTCTAGCTGCAAGGATCTCTTGAAATATGACAGGGCTGTCTCATGCTCTTTCTGCAGCGAAAAGCAATTACCAACAATACACCATGCCTCCGGACACCTTTTGTCAAAGTCAACTGTTTTCTGAGCCAAATGTGCCAATTCAACTTCCTTCTTTAATTGCCAATACACGGTGGAGAGCAGATCCAGACCTTTCATGCGATATGGCTCCACGCTTTGCATAAGCTCCAAGCAACGACCTGCACCTAGAAAGTCGTTCGTCTCAAAATGTGCTCGTCCCTGTTGATGGAGGATCCTGGGATTGGGAAATAGGTTGGGGAAGTAAAGGACTCTGCTATGTCAGTGTTCTTGAAGCACAAAGACCGTGTAGCTTGGCTAAAAAGTTCTTACCACCCGGTTTGCTGCTGTGTTTGGGGCAGCTGACTGAAGATCTTCAAAGCTTCCCGACAGCAATACTAGTGACGGAACCATAGAATTAATCAGTTGCAGGAGACAACTAGATCACTATACATTGGTAACAGCACAATGCTTACCTGGCACAGCCTTCGCCAAGCTGATCCAATGAGGCACAGCAATCCTAGGATTTCCCTAATGCCTTCCTGTCTTGTTGCTGGAACACTCGAATCACCATTGAAAGCATGGCTCCCCTCGGAACCAGACAACTGCTGTTGACCGATGCCATCACTTTCTTTCGGTGTGCTGTTATCTGCGGACATGAACAAAGCTCTTGGTTGCCTGGAAAAGGAAGATGACATGGCAGATTGGTCTGTTGTGTTCTGTTCTCTCATGCCACCTCCTCGGCGCAGAGGAGTGTCGCCCGTGCCATGAGTAGACTCAGTTTCGACTTGGCGTCCTAGGCCACGAAGATATTGCAACGAGGTTCTGATTTCTGCAGTATGTGGTGTCTCAGGAGAGGGTTGATAGTAGCGCCTGGCAGCCACTTGTTCAGCCCGCATCAGCACTTTGGAGTCACCTGCATCTGCTGGAGTAATGCCCAGGACAGAGGTACTGGCCGGAATCGGGGTCAATCCGGGAGTTTCAAACTGAGACAATTTCTTTCGGGTGGTGGCACTAGTAAAGAGTGCCGCGGCTGGTGTAGTGGAGGGTGTCCCAGCGCCAAATGAATGTTGCAAGGATCGGACTTGAAGAGAATTACAAAAGGTGAACCACAAACATGTCATTCAACAACAACAGCATCAAAAGTGGATGTGCCAACGTACCATTGGCTGGTGTCACCGAATTCAACATGAAACTACTGGGAGACAGAATGTTGCGATCCTGAAGGGGTTTGACAGCCTCAAATTGAGGTGGATGAACTCCAAAAACACTGTGTGGTTCAAGGTCGTCAGCACCACCAAGTTCGCACAAGTACTCAAAACTAGACCAGAGAAATGGATCCAACTACAAAGAAGGTGAGTAGCCTGTTTTATTAGAAGCACCAAAACCACAACATCTCAAATCCAACGTCGGTGAACTTACCTTTAGAGACATTCTGTAGTATTGTTTTGCCCTATTTTTGCGATTTGATGCACGGCATATATTTCCCAACATGTGGAGACCAGCAGCACCATTTGGAATGGGGCAGGGGGTAGTGGTGATGATCCAAGTGTCCATGGCTTCGGGTGAATTGTCGGCGGCAGAGGGAAGGCTATTGCCTCTTGATTTTCGGTATTCTTGTCTCGAAAAATTGAGCAATGCTTCTTCAGCGCGGCCATAGTCACCCAGCTCCAAGCAGCACTTCGCCACCAAGTATTGAATTTTGGGCGAATCATCTTGGCAATTTTCCAATACTCCAAGAGCCCGCTTGGGTGCACCAGATCGATGATGGCAGAGAGCTAGCAAATACTGAGAGTCATTGGACTTCTTGCATGCCACAAAGCGCTCTGCTAAGAAAATGGCATTGTCAACACACATGACAGAGAGATACTGCTGAATCAAAGAAGTGTAAATCTCAACAATGCCATCTTCGCCAGGATCCAAATTCTCAACATTTTCATTCCCAAGAGAGGAAACTGGATTGCCCAGTGTTGGATATGATGGGATTGCTACTTCCATGTTGATTGATCGATCTGATAACTAATCCTTCAGGATTCGTTTGTTGCACAATGCTGGATGCCAAGGCGAAGTGGCTCCCATCGGCTGTCCTTTAAAATTTGGGCGCCTTCAAGCTCTCTTTGACGCGAAGCGTGGAGTGCGTCCGCAATGCTGGCTTCAAGGCGGCAGAGTTATTAGAGCAGGGAATACTAAGGAGCACGTCCCTAGATAGCTAGCACACTTTTTATAAAAGAAAACATGGACACATCCGCTGGGGCGAGATAGCATTGGGATGATGGTGGCGCTCTTGATCGCTTCCACTGGTCTTTGTCCTTGCCCCACTTTCCATCCTTTCCCTGCCTGTCCTCCTTCATTTGTGCAATCAAGATGGCATGGATGTCCTCACGAGTGACGGAAATGTGAACAAATTGGAGTCTTTCGTTTCAACGACCAGATCGGCCTTATCTTCTCCGGTGCGCAAGAGACCCAGGTTGGAATACGGTGGGCTCGTTCATTCAATGTCATAGACCAAGTTTCTACAACGCCATCCGTGCCACAGCAATGTGTCCTCACCAATTTGTTTGTGTCTTCCATCGCAAGTCCACGACGATAGCTTGATCGTCAGTACGACTGCTCCGTACGGGACCTGGTACGGTGCACGAGAGAGGTAGAGGTTCGACCGCAAAAAGACTTCCAAAAAGGAGCAATCGGTGGTACTACAGTACGAGCGACCAATTTGAGCTGCTTGTGGCCATCCCATTGGTAAAGGCGTACGACGCCACCAATAGGAGGCGCAACAATCTCCAGAGATCCCGATCTGAAGTTTCTCCCACTGCCAATTGCTGCCAGCGCCCATCTTGACCAATAAAGATGGTCACGTGTCACAAAGTCCATGCCGACATAAGTTTTCCGCCTTTGGGAAAAGATCCAAAAGATCCAAAAGATCTTCATCCTGCAATATTATTGCGTTTTTGGCACCGTTACTTCCTGGTTGCAAATTATCTATTTACAGACCGTCTTTTAGCACGTTTCAGCAAGACAACGACAAACAACAACAAAAGCGATGCTTCGGGAAAAGCCAAGAGGCAAGCAACACAACAAGCACCCTTTCCAGCAGAACGACAACATTGCTACTAGATCTTGCCTTTTAAAATCCCATAGTAATTTATATATATATATAGATACCATGGCCATTACCAGTACCATGCCACACAATTCCAATCTCGGCAATATGAAGAAGAAGAGCGCCTTTGTGATTGGCCGCGAGAATGACAGGCGCAAGCAGTTGATACTGTTGATCACAGTCCCCACGATCCTCTTGCTCTCCATTAGGGGCATGCTGACAAGAGGCGCAGAGACCTGGCATCTACCTGTCGAGACGACCTGTCAAGACTCACCACAGTTATTAAAACAAGCACCCCCCAAGCCCCTAGTATTGTATGTAGCAGGCTCGAGTCGCACGGGGACAACTTACTTTTACAATTTGCTTCGCATCCTGTTGCGCCAGAGAGATCCCAATACCATTCACGGATGGTACGAAGACTTGAGTGTGGTGGCCGCACGGTACAGCAGTCCCAATCCACCATTGTCACCAATACTCGAGGATAAGTTTGATTTGGACATTGATAAATGGCAAGGAGCCTTAGATGCCTACAAATCTACCGGTACTACTGTGCTAGTCAAAGTTCATGGTCTCAGTCACGCCATTCGACTATTCAGTGGTTGTAATTCTATACAAAATGGTGAATTAATGAACCCCGGCTGCCCCGTGGACGCGGTCTTTTCAACCCACCGTGATGTGGGACCTCAACTAGCATCCATCAAGCGCATGGCCTGGGCCAGACGAATGAAGTGGAGTGATTTGGACAATGTCCAGGAATTTTGTCGCAAGACGGGGCATCACAAAGCTACACGCGAGAGACCAAGACTGGTTGCTGCTGATTGGAAGGGCAGTGCTGCTACCATGGACAAATCCTGGCGGCTGCAGAGTCATGCCATTGTCAAGTGTCACCAGGAGTGGCACACAGCGGCGGGTAGTAAGCTCGTGTTGGATGCTCCCATGGAATCACTCACGACGCACGAGGGGCGATTGAAGTTGGCGGAGCAAATTATTCAGCAAATTGGGAAATTGGATCCAGACGGCAGCATCAGTACCAATATGGATGCCGCCAAGGCCGTTGAGGAAGCGGATCAGTTGCGTTCATTGGCGTGCTCGTCGTGGCAAGCCGTCAATCCCATTACACACTTTCATCGGGGTCATGTTCTTATTGATAATAGTAGCATGGATACAGCCGATGCTGCTGCTGCTGCCAATGAGGAAAAGGAGCTTCAGAAACAGGCCTTTAGTCTCTTGGAGGCGGACCCCCTCATTCAAAAGTGGCGCAAGGAGTTTGGGTACAGCAGTTCGTAAAAATTTTCAAAAGGCAAGCTGAAAATCGCATCCATGTGCAGGTTTGGGGACTCGACTCGGAAGAGAAAGCGGCCACAGAAGACAATGCTTTACTCTAAAGTATTACTTCTTCTTTATCGGTGGACATTCTTACAAATTAAAAGCTTCCTTCAGAGATCCTGCATTCAAATGAATGCGATATTATTAAAACACTAACTTCACTTATAATATTAGAAAGTGACTGTATAAATTTGTCTGGGTGGCTAGCTACTAGGCACGGTAGTACCGGAACCTAGGTTCAAGCAAGCATCCGTGCTGATCAGAGTTTGGCTTCCAGCAGCTCTTCCAGATAACTTCATCAGACTAGACTATTATACTTACATGTAGCTAGCGAGCGAAACCATCTCTTAGAGCATGGTCAACAGTGGCATCAAAATTAAGCGCAAATTAGGGCTTTTAAGCGGAGCCAACAGACCGTGATGAACCTCAAAAGGATGGCATCCTCGCGAATTGGCTATGCTTGCTCGCTATTTTCGTAATTTTCTCCTCACTTTATTGAAATTCAATACCGGGTGCACACTCAATAAATAATGTCACTACAAAACCTGAATTTGATACTAAGTGAGGTATCTTTTTTTAGATGAATCATCAAATTCGTCGAATTTGGTGTCAGCAGCAAACAGAGGTGGGCAACATCAAATTTAAGAAATGTAGTGCATGTATCAAAGCCTTAAGAAGTGTTCACCCTGTTGGATGAAGCCACTAATTTGCGCTTAGATTTGATGCCACCGTTGATCATGCTCTTACCATGTCTTCACTGTCGAAGTGTGAGGATAGATCACAAACTGACCATCTTCATTGATCTTGGCTCGATAGTAGCTCTTTTTGCCTAGAAATGCTGCCTGGTCTGCAACACTCTGGAAAAGATCTTGAAACCCCAAAGAACTAGGATCCATGTAGAAGTTGCAGTGGCTAGATGTCCAAGAAAGAAGCAAGGTACGGTTTTGTTAGCAGAGCAGGACACATGTCCAACATTGTATCACACGCATTGCCTTACCGAGTTTTGTCATAAATCATCAATTGATTCATAGAACTTTGAATCTTAACCCAGAATGTGTCTTTCTGCTTGAGACCTTTTGGTGGCCTACAATGAAACTGTGATTGCGTTGTTTCTGTGGCGTGGCTGAAACTGGTATGGTCATCTGGCACCTCTGCTGCCTCACATATCAGCCCTAACATTTGCTCTCGCTCAGCACATTCTCTACGATGAGCTGCTTTCCAGTGAGTTATTTGGCATTTCTTGCCACAATACACAGCATCAAGGCACTTGGTACATTGCAGCAACTCGCCCAAATGACCCGCCCTTACACCACAATTTTCGCACACCTCATTCCTTCTTGAGTTCCGATTCTCCTTTTTGACTGTTTCCTTAACATAAGCATGGATGACATCATTGACAGGATTGGCTCCCCGGATTGGGGTCATGGACATTTGCCGGACAGTCCAGCCGCTGCAGTCTGCGATGTCTAGACCATTGGTTGATCTCTTTAGAAGGAATTTTGCCACATCACGCTGGTTTGACTGAACGACCTCATGAAGTGAGATGGTTCCGATCCTGTCTTGTACTTCCACAATATTTGGAGCCTTCAAGGATTTGTGCATTATACATACACTCCTAGTGGCTTCGTTTTCAGCAGCATTCCGATTTGATTGCACAAAAATATTGTCGGGTTTGACAGCCATCTCTTCATTGACGTTTTGAACTGGATGAAAGACTCTCCTCCCAGTTTCAGAGACAAAGCCTCCAAGAGTGCCCACCATTTCATTATAGCCCTGATTCCCAAGTCCATCTAGCACCACTCCGCGGCCCACAAATGTTGAGGTCTCATTAGCTCTGATGCACATGTCAGTCATGGATAGGGTATCCTTGGTAGCACATGATCCAGCACCATAATGGCATGCTAAAAATAGCACCAATTCTGTGTGAGGGAGTCATCTCTCCACCTTGTCACAGCATTTCGTCTCGCCAACCTACCTGTTTTTCCAGTGACATCCTTGGCATTAGGACTGGCCCCATACTGTAAGAGAATTCGAACAACTTCCACATGTTTCATCAATTTCACAGGTTGATTTGTGTAGAAATGAACTGTTTTGGGATGCTTCGAGCAAGCAATGGTGATAATGAGAGGTGACATGCGCATAGCAGTGACCCGATACTCCAATAAGTTTGTTCGCGCTTCGAAGGTTGACAGAGCCTTCAGTTCCGTTTCCACTGCTCGACGATCTCCCCTGATGCAGTTCCAGACAAAAGGACTCATCCTGGTGACTGATGGTATATGTCGCTGATCATATTCGCGTAAGCAATTTTCCAGGTCCTCGCAGTCATTAAAGAGGTCACGTAGTATCTGAGCCTGATGTTCCCCATTTTTTACAATGGGAGTTTGGTCTCCGTTTCCGTAGGGATCGGCATCGTTGAGATCGCAGTTGGTGCCTGCTTTTTGAAGCAGTCGCCGCACGATAGATTTTGAGTTGGCAGCAGAGGCACGCCTCAATTGTGCTTTGAGACCACTGGTCTCCTCGTCTCTCAAGAAGGGACGAAACGCATTGCATAGCTTGACTTTCTCTTCCAAGTTCATAGTCGAGCCTTGCATTTACCTGCCGAGTGCGTGCCCGTGGCATGCATGTCTACTAGTACTTCGCTGCCAACTCTCACAAGGATTTGTTGGATCTTTTTCCACTGAATAGCAATAACAATATGCGTTTAATGGGTGCCGTACCGTATCTCTCTACTACTAGCTAGAGTAGCTAGGTAAGGTCTACCGGTACTAGCTAGCTAGTAGTACTCCAGCTAGCTACTAGTACCCAGCCACAACGGGGTTTAGAGCACATTTTACGAGGGTTTAGAGTTTATTAGAGTACCTTTAATAGGGGTGGTCAATGTTGCTCTTTCAATCCACTTTTTTGGCACCTTTTTTTTCTTTTCTGGGGGAGCCAGAAGAGGGGAAGAAATGGGGATCTGGGGCGGAACTGGAGAGGTGCGGAGGGTAGGAAACTCAAAACGAGAACCCTTGAAGAAGACCAACGGAAGCATGATTGGACCGGTCACAAAGCTTTCTGTTGGTCGTGTCACAAGAGCTAATCTGTTAAGTCTCTCGATGTCCGTGAGAACTCACATTAAATCGGTTTGTTGGGACGTGCTTTCCGTTGGATACGTCACATGAGTCACATGCCAAGGAGCAAAAAAGAATGACCGAAAGAGTGAAGAAAGAAAAAATTGTGAGGGAAAGAGCACCTAAAAAGGTGCTCTTTCGGAGGAGTGACTTTTTTTCTTTTCTTGCCTCTCCGACCCTTCTTTTCTTTCCCTCTTCTGGCTCCCCCAGAAAAGAAGAAAAAAGTGCCAAAAAAGTGGATTGAAAGAGCAACCTTGAAGACCCCTAATGTAGATTATCTACGGCAGCTAACGAAAAAGAGCCCAACTAGCTAGTAACTGGCTAGTACTTCAAGCAATCCAGACTTTGGCTTCCAGCGGCTCTCCAGCTATCTTCATCAGACTACCTACTGGCTAGCTAGTACCTGGTAGGGAGACGAAATCCAAGTCAAGATCTCAAGGATCCATCTCTCACCACTTCTTCACAGCTGAAGTGTGAGGAAAGATGACAAATTTGCCATCTTGGTTGATCTTTGCTAGATAGAAGCTCTTCTTTCCCAGAAATTCTGTCTGGTCTGCAACACTCTCAGCGAGATCTCGAAAACCCAAGGAACCAGGAGCCAAGTAGAAGTTGCAGTAACTGAGGGTCGGCAAGAATGGGAAGACAGAAAGATACTGTTAGGCGAGGAGGAGTGCTCATGTTGACCTTTTCATCGCTCATTAACTTACTGAGTTTTGTCATAGATCAGCAAATTGTGCTGCAAACCTTCACTTTGGACCTTCACCCAGAATTTTTCATCTTGCTTTGCACTTTTTGGTGCCGTACAATGAAATTGAGAAGACCTTGTTTGCGAACAAAAGTTGATGCTTGTATGGCCTTTTGGAATACTTGCTGGATCCCCCAATTCCAGTCCCAGCTGCTTTTCTCGTTCCTTACATTCCTTCCTGTGGAATCCTTTCCAGTGTGATACTTGGCATTCCTTTGAGCAGTACACTGCATCAAGACAGCTTGTACATTGACGCAACTCCCTGCCCAAACGATTTGCCTTTGTGCCACACATTTCACACGCCTCCTTCTTTCTCACTTTCCATAGCTTCTTCTTTGATGTTTTCTTCAAATGACCTCGAATCACATCATTGACTGGATTGACTCCTGAAACTGGTTTCATAAACATGTCCCGGACACTCCGACCAGAAAGATCTGGAATGTCCAAGCAATTGGATGATCGATGGAGGAGAAATTTTGCAACGTCACCCTGACTTGACATTGCCACCTCATGAAGCGAGATTGATCCAATACGGTCTTGTACTTCCACAAGGTTTTTTGCCCTTAGAGACTTGTCCAATATGCAGACTTGCCTAGACTGCTGGCCAGCACATTTGGAGACAACAAAAATGTTGTCAGGCCTGATAGCCATCTCTTTTTTTGGGTCATTCAAAGGGTGAAATACTCTCCTTTCCGTTTCTGATACAAAACCACCTAGGATGCCCTCCATGCCATTGTAATTCTTTCTGCTGAGTCCATCCAATACAACATTCCTCCCAAGAAAGGTTGTGGTGGCCGTTGCCCTAATGCACATATCTGTCATTTCAAGGGTATCCTTGGTGGCATGTGAGCCAGCACCATAATGGCAGGCTGCAATTGATACAAGCAAGCGAAAAATTCGTTGAGCAGTCTGGATCATTCTTCACTTTGCTGCTTGACACTGTTTCACACCTGTTTTTCCAGTAACCTCTTTGGCATTGGGGCTGGCCCCATACATTAATAGAATGCCAACAACCGCCACATGATTCATTAGCTTAGTTGGCCGGCCCGTGTATTGGCTAACACGATCCAAATTCTTGGAAGATGCAATGGTCAGGATCAGTGGTGACATGCGCATAGACGTGACTCGTTGCTCTAGCACATTTCGTCTGTCTTGGAAAGTAGGCTGAGCTTGTAGCTCGTTTCGAACAGCAATGTGGTCTCCCATGATGCAATTCCACGCAAAGGCAGGAAGCCTCTTTCCGCTATAGGCGGAGCTGGGCATTCTATATCCGATCCACCACTGTTCCAAGTCACCACCGTCGGCAAAAAGATATCGCAGGATTTGTGCACTGGCACCTTCTGATGGGAGGGGCGTTTGATCTCCATTGCCGTAGGGGTCAGAATCATTGACGTCGCAGCTTGTCCCTGTCTTTTCCAAGAGTCTTCGGATAATTTTTGATGACTCGACGGTGGAGATGGTCGCTTTCAGTTGGGCCAATAAGCTACGGGATTCCTTATCCAAAAGCAAATAGCAACACTTCTTCGTTAACTTTGATTTTGTGCTTTGACTGACGGTGGTGGTTCCACTCTTTAACAGGTCTTCTAAAACATCAGGGTCTTCAAGGAAGGCCGATCGGAGGAAGGATTTTTGTTCCTCATTCAGATTGTCGAGATTGAACTTATCCATGTCCTGTCTGTGTGGTGCTTTGGGGGAAGGTGATGCTTGTGGTGCTGGCACTGGTACTAGTCCCGCACCGGTTGGTTGGATGAGCCCTCGCTTGAAAGAGCACCACATCTTTTCCCGCGCCGCTTCTGACGTCCGCAAGATTTTGGTGCAATTTTTTTGCAGCCCAAACTTCATTCCACCACGGTCTGCCACCGAATCGAATCAATCACTTCCACGGCCTAATTTCAAATTAAATTAGTAGCACTTGGAAGAACTAAACTCTTCGATTACTATTTCATTATGTTTTTTGAGAGCCTCAGAGTTCAGAAGAGTACCCATTACATGATACCTCTTACTAATTAATTCTGATAGCAACTTCCATTGGTTCATATTGCAATCTGTCAGGACGGAGGACTTGGACGCGTTTGATTGAATCCGGAACATTTGGCAACACATTTCATAGGCACATCAGAGAATACGTGAAGGTGAAAAGGAGGCAGCTGAGGACGAGGAGTTGGACGCTGAAGCCAAAATTGAAAAGACCTTGAAGGCATACCCGCGGTACAAGGAGATTGTTGACCAGTTTTGGAAAATTCAGATCTGGATCTATCCTGAAGGCATCAGAACGATCGAATCCGTCTTGAAGCAAGCTTCCGGTAGCCTCCTGTCATTAAGTGGCAATGACAAAGAGATCCTTTACCATGTCTCCTGCTCCCAACAATCAGGATGTCGCTCCCGCTACGTCGCACCCAAAGCTCCCGATAACGCTACTGTCCGGCTTTTGGGGGGCAGGCAAGACAACGTTGTTGCGGCACGTTTTGCAGACCCAACATGACCAAAAAGCAAAGTTCCGATGCGCGGTTATCGTGAACGATATGGCCGAGCTGGTAAGGAGAGGGGGAGATGAGGAAAGGAAGGAAAATCCATTCTGAATGCAGCTTACATCCGGTGCTTTTCCTCCATGTTTGTAGAACATTGACAAGACGCTCATTGAAGAATCGGGTGCCCTCGTCCAAAGTGATGATCAAGTGATTTCCATGAAAAAATTGATGCGTCTGTTGTAACTTGAAGAGTGACATGATGAAACAGATTATTGACTTGGCCACGGAAGGGATTTTCGATTATATGATTATCGAGGCTTCGGGAGTGTCGGAACCGGCGCAGATCGCGCAGCTCTTTGCCGAAGTTTGTAATCAGGAGCATGATCACGAACAAGAGCACGATGCTGTACTATTGGGAGAATTGGCCCGATTGGATACCTGTGTGACCGTCGTGGATTGCCACGAGTTTCTAGGCAACCTCGGCAGAGATTGGTGCACAAGCAACTACCCAATCGGGGAGAAACCTGGAATTTCGCATGCCTTATGTCAAAACAGATCGAGTATGCAAATGTCATTTTACTGAACAAAACCGATCTCGTCCTCCCACATCAATTGAAAACCATTCGACAACGCGTCAAACTCCTCAATCCAAAAGCCAAGGTTTGACGTCCTCAGTCAAGGAACCACTGGCCAATATCATGGACGTGGTGGATACCAAACTCCCTCGCGCTCAGGACTTTGAGATTGCCGCGTCATCGGATGAATGGTTGTAGAAGCAGACGGTGGTGCCACCATCCTGTTGCAACAAAAGCCAAGCGGCAGGCAAAGCTCCCTGTTGCGGTTCCAATCGTCAAGACAGCAGCAGCACTGGAAAGTCACAAATCATCCTTGGCAGTAGCATCGACAATACGCGGGAATCTAAGACCAAGCGCCCCAAGACGACGACTCGTCACGAAGCACGTTTTGGGGTATCCTCCTTTCTCTACTTGTCCCGGTTGCCCTTTCATCCAAAAAACGATGGCATGACCAATTCATTGAAAAGTACTTTTATCATGCCGCCTGAAGATGACGAAGATGCTGAGGACGAAGAGTTTGACGATGAGGAGGACGAAGGCGAACAAAGGATGGACGTGGACGATGAGAAGGACAATGCTCCCACGACGACAGAACAACCCGCCATCGACGAAGCGACGAAGAAGACAAAAGAAGAACGCGCACAAGAGTTGCAAGAAGAACTCGAAGAAAGATTGAAGAGATACAGGTCGAGGCCGCCGCCAAACGCACAACTTGCAGGAAGGACCTTGGTGGACAACTCGTTCGGAGCAAAGGATTCATTTGGCTCGGCAATATACATGACTTGAAAATGGTATATAGCCAAGCGGGGAGCATGGTGACGATTGAAGATGGTGTGGTGTGGGATGTCCTACAAAAAGGAGCCTGGGATGGAGGAGATCCGACAAAGAAGGAAGGCTTGCGCAAGAACTGGCAGGCCCCGTACGGCGATCGAAGACAAGAGTTGGTGTTTATTGGGGTGGGTTGCAAGATCCAAAAGGTCCTCGATGGCTGCCTCATGACAGAGGACGAGTATGACATGGGCGTGGACGGCTGGAAGGCAACAATGGGAGATGCACTCTTGAGTGACCGGTAGCTAGTCTTGAAGGGGCGTGGTTGAGATTACACCAGTTGGCCCTCCATTCCATGTGTCTCTATGGAATTAGCTCAGTTAAGCAGAATCATCTCTAGACTATTGCATTTCTTTATCGTCTAGGCTAGCCAGCACATCCTACCATCATGTCATCTCTGCTGTCCTGGAGCTATTCATCAACCATGCCATGAGTATCTACTCGAGAACATCACAACAGCCAGTCGCCAGGGAAGGCAGATAGCACCATCTAACTACTCGGGCGAACCCGAGCAGCATCCTTTTGTGCTGGTGGGGGTACAGCCAATCAAATAAAAGTATCCAAGTTGGTCGCAGCACACAAGGGAGACATCGGAGTCCAATGGCTGGACGCAGCCCTGATCAGCACAGTACTCGTAACCAGAAGAACAAGTTGGAGTGGGAGCAGGTGATGGTGGATCGCTTCCACTAGGTTTGCAGCACGATTCAGTGTCTGTGGGGGTGCAACCAAACGCATATTGGTATCCTTCCAGTTGGTCGCAGCATTCTGTAGTCACAGTGGAATCCCAAGGTCGAACACAACCCTGGGCGGCACAATACTGGTAGCCACCATCCGAAACACAGGATGGAGTGGGAGACAATGTGGGTGGCTCTGTATGAGAGTTGCAGCATCCGGTTGTGCTGGTAATGGTACAACCAAGTGCATAGGCGTATCCTTCCAGACTGTTGCAACATTCCTCAGTCACACTGGGATCCCATGGTCGGACACAGCCCTGGGAAGGACAGTACTCGTATCCTGCTGTGGGATTACAGGAAGACGAGGAATCAATGAAAATGGAGCAATCTTCAAATGTAATCATGTCACTTCCATCATTGAAAAAATCTTCCAGAGCAACCACATCAGCCTGAGAGTCACTTTGTTCCAGCACATAGGTATAGGTGACTTGGCTTTTGTCATCATCTGTAGCAAAGGTGTACATGGCATCCACCTGTACAGCCACCAAGGGGCCTTCAAACTGGTCCAGATCAGAGTGAACAAACGTAAAGGCAGCATTGGGTGGGCCGCTTGCAAAAAATTCATCGAAACTGTCAAAGAACTGTGAGGTAGGGATGGTATCCTCAATCTTGAAGGGACGATCACTGAATTGGTAGGTGTCATCATCCATATCATCGGTCCTCAATTCATAACCATCATCCAGTTTATGAAGCGTACAAGAATTGGCCATTTGAGTAAAGAGGTAGCTGGGAGCATCACCTCCTCCATCACCGCCGCCGCACGTGGAGAGTGTGTCCAGGCAAGAAACCAAGTTGTCCTCGCAAGTTTCATCTTGGTCCATGCCAGCCAAATGGCGGCGGAGATGATGACCATTGTTGTTGTTGTTGTTGTTGTTGTTGTTGTTGTTGGAAGAGGGCTTTCCACCATTGTTCTGTTCCTTTGTGGAAGTAATGGAGTTTTCGGGATGCTGCTTTGGAAAGGTTGCAATGGCTTCATTCACATTCCGATGAAATGTCGCTGCTGCCTTGACATTGAGCTTTCCACCACTCCTACTAGTAGCAGAAGCAGATGGAGCGCCAAAAGCAAGGCTTGCCACCATCAGGAAGAAAACGTTCATCATGGTCTTTTTTCTATTACGGTAGAAAGATACTTACTTTGACTGCAGTTCCAGCGTTCCAGCATGCCAATGTAACGAATGAATGTGTACCCCCAGAATGAATGAAGCAAGAATCATGATGTATGTATGTGAGCTGAAAGAAGAGTAAACAAACAACGTGACACAAAGTCGCATGGATGATGCGAGTACCGGTGGTACCGGTACATTATTATTTGTCATCAGAGCAAGCGAAAACGAGACAACAAGGCAGTTGCAAAACAAGACATCTTCAAAGTTTCTTGCCTTGGAAGCTTGTGTTGGGAGTGGATCTTCAGATAGAAAGGTGCTGTAAGTGGGTTACTACGGTACTGTATGTGGTTAGAGTGGACTTTGGGTGGGGTTGGACTCTTGAGAGGGTGGAGGGCACGAAAACAAATATATGAGAAAGATACCGGTGGCATCAGATTAGGATGAGTTACGGTGTTCCGTTCGTGCTTGCTTCAATGAGCTTTGGCCTTGCTGTGTTTCATTCGGTCACATCGAATAAGCCTTGCTGTGTTTCAGTCATGGATACGATTTCCAAAGAGTCGCACACTTCCCGTCACACCTTCCCGCCAGGCGAAACACAATCTGCGACCAACAAGCCCCGCCCGTTGGAAATCCCGGCTGGCAACGGTGTTTCCACAAAATTTTTGCCTCTTTCTAGCTTTCGGTGCACGTGCAGTGATAGTGGAGGAGTGTGGGAGAGGCACACTACACAACAGCTCCATACCAAAGAGCTGTTGTCTCTAGCTGTTGGCGCTCTTCCTGGGAAGGTGAATTGAATTAGTCTATCCAGCTGATAGTGACTTTATTCTTTCGGCGGGATTCTACTAGTAGGAAGCTACTGCAGTAGTGAATTGCTGGCAGCACCGGTATGAGACATGAAGGTGATACTGTGGTTGTCATGAACTTACGACAAGTCGTGGCCGCCGAAAATAATAGCGCCAACGAATCTATCAAAGAGCAAAGCAGCAATACTGCCAACACTCCAATACCATCAAGCTCACAAAGCGCCGTGGTAGTGGACGCTATAGAAACCATGGTCTTGCCGTCTTCTTCTGTGACTATTACCTTGGATGCACCAGTACCATCACGAGACGATCCCCATAAAGATGGCGCTGATGTTGCCAGTGATACCACCGAGGTTGCCACCAACCTGGGCGGTGTGACAGAAGAAGATTTGGAATATGGCAACACTTCTCGTCATTTGAGGTCATCCCTCCGACCAACATCCTATCCTGTTACCCAAACAAGTAGTGGTTTGGATATTGACTACAAATACGACAAACCGTCCAAGTTGCGAAGCAGCTTGTTGACGTTGGTGGGGATCGTGCTGATTGTGGGGGGCGTCGTGTGGGCTGTCATTCATGTCATTCAGTCACCCGACTATCAGACCACCCAAACGGGTCAACCCATGGGGGCCATTCTCTGCAGCAAGGTAGATCAAGAGCTGATACTATTACAAATCTCCAATGACAACTACACCACAGCATCGTATGCTCCCCAATACCGAGAGGAATGCCAACGGGTATCGGAACGAGAACGCTCTTGTTCCTTTGCCATTTCCTACAACTTTACAGTGGAACATCTCGACAATGCTACGGAAATTGGATTTGATACGTGGACGTTTGATGCCGGCCATGAATGTCATGAAAGTGTCCCACAAAGCCGACAAGATTATTTGCAGGCCAGCAATATCACCATTTACTATGAGTATGTCAATCCATCGGAGAACCATTATCATCCACCACCCACGGCGGGGTCCATTGCCGGGATTATTGCAGGTATTAGTTGCGGTGTGGGCATTCTGTTTTTGTGCACATCGGTCCTCGAGTGTGTGCTCAATTGAATGATTTGAGTTGAGTTGAATTAAAGAAAGAATTGAGTGGGACGGAATCGAACCAGCTTGGATGGAAACGCTTGGATGGAAACGATAAGTGAGACAGGAGGGGAGAATGGCCATGTCTACACACACACACGAGTTCCATCCATTCCAAAAGGGCGCGATTCCAAGATTATTGATATTTCTCTCGCACAGCTGCCCAAGAAGGATGGCAGCAAAATCCAAATATAGACTGTTGTAGAATTAGCTTCTTTCTTTGTGATCTCTTGACTCGACTCGACTCGTCCATAGCTTATCTGAGGACACGCTAAAACAGCGCTCGGAGACATGCCAACCTGCTAGCAGCATCCCACTCTAGCTAGCTAGCTAGCTAGTAGATAGCCAGAGAGGGCGAGTGAGCTCTTCACCACTTTTTTACTGTGGAAGTGTGTGGGAAGATGACGAGTTGCCCCTCTCCATTGAACTTGGCACGATAGTAGCCCTTTCGTCCCAGGAAGGCCGGATTGGCACTGACACATTTCACCAACTCCTCATGGCCCAGACTGCCAACAGCCAGTGGCAAGTGACAGGCTCTGAAGCAATAATCAAGGCAAGCCATCAGGAACAGTGTCAGAGAGACCGAAAACAGAGAGGCGCACAACTAACAACTAACGGAGCAATGGATGGTAGCGTACCTGGTTTGGTCAGAAATCAGCAAGCTCGTATCCAATCCGTCCTCGCATTGCACTTTCACCCAAAATGTCTGACCCGGATGGACCCCATCGGGTGCCTTGCACTCCCAAGCTTCCACCTCTTCTTGGGTGTAATGGTTGCAACCCACAAAGAAACCTCGAGGTATCGGCATTGCCTCGCCAATGACTACTCCCAGCTCTCTTTCCCGGTCAGGACACACCTTGCTGTGAGTTTTCTTCCAGTGAGACACCTGACACTTCCTGGAGCAGTACGCTGAGTCAAGGCACTTGGTACACTGGAGCAACTGCCGGCCCAAATCACGGGCAATGATGCCACAATTGGCACAGGCCTCCTTGTTTGCTGCTTTCTGTTCTTTTTTCTTTGTGGTGGTCTTCACATGAGCGGAAAAGACATCATTGACAACATGCTCTCCCTGAAAGGATGTAAGGAGCAATCTTCGAGGGGAGTAGCCACTGCAATCCACAATGTCCAGGCACTTGGTGGATCTCTTGAGCAGAAATTTTACCACATCCCGTCGATCGGACATGGCAACTTCATGAAGGGAGATTGCTCCAACTCGATCTTGTAGGTCAACAAGGTTGGTAGTACGGAGGGACTTGTCCAAGATACACAGCTGCTCGTCGTCTTCCATGGACACAAAAATGTTCTCGGGCTTGACTGCCATTTCCTCGGCAGGTTCCATCAGTGGATAAAAGACACGCCGACCATTGCTGGAAATGCATCCACCAAGGGTTCCCTCCATATCATTGCATGCATCATTGCTGAGTCCCTTCAGTACAACCCTCTTGCCAACATGAGAACAGGTCTTGGTAGCAGAAATGCACATGTCAACCAGCTTCATGGTATCCTTGGTAGCCTTGGACCCCGCACCATAGTGACAGGCTGGATAGAGATAGAAAAGCAGGATATTGAGACCACAAGCAGTCTATGAACGACTTTTGGCCAACACAGAACTTTTCACTTACCAGTCTTTCCAACAACATCCTTGGAGTTGGGGCGTGCTCCATATTGCAACAAGATGCGAACGACTTCCTCATGTTCCATCCCCTCGAAGGGTCTCCCAGAGCATCCCTGGATAAAACCTGGAAGCTTGGAGATGGCAATGGTCAGGACCAATGGGGTCAACCGCATGGAAGTGAAACGTCGCTCCAGGAGCTCCATCCGACCTTGAAGTGTGGGAGTCATCTTTAGCTCTTTTTCGACGGCTCGGGGCTTTCCCATGACACAATTCCGGAGGAAGCTGTTTGTTGAGGTGGTCTTTTGGAATTCCATCGTTAACCAGAGTAGAATATCCCCTCCGTCTGAAAAGAGCTCGCGTAGAATTTGGCGGTCACTGTCACTGGATTCCACGACGGTCTGATCTCCATCTCCGTACGGATCGGCGTCATTGATCTCGCAGTTGGTTCCCGCCTTTTGCAAAAGCCGCTTGACCAAGTTGCTGGACTCCATAGTCGATCCTGCATTCTTAAGTTGCGACAAAAGCTGACGAGCCTCGTGGTCCAGCTTGAGATTGGATGTGTGCCTCGCGACAGGAATATTCTCTGCCAAAGTTGGGGGGCTGAAAAGATCCTGGGGATTTTGGCTGCTTGCGAGAAGGGATGATAGCAGAAAATCTGCTGGTTCTCCACTCTGACCCGTCATGTCTACTGGTACTCTTCCTCCTCAATTGCAAGCTTTTTCCGAACCTCGCTTCTGTGTTGGATAAATGGGCCGCTCTTCTGATGGGCCGAGGCCGAGAGCTGATAGAGCAAAAGAGGAGAAGCCAAAAGACTGCAAAAAGATACTCTCTTCGCCTTATATCCGATACACAGCGGTAACCCTATAACTCTGCGGTACCGTAGCCACTCTTGATTCGCCAACTGGACTTTCCTTTCGGCGGCAGAGCTGCGGCTGCTTGTGTAGACTTTCGAACCGTCCCGGTCGCAATCTCAGTTCTTCAAGTTTTGCTGCTACATGTAGTATTGTTTAATGTAGTTGTTGTCAGGTCCTTGCTTCGATGTGAATGCAGCCAAAACAATCACACTTTCAGAAGCTCTTTTCTAAAGATAAGGCTGCTTCAGACGGACGACACAAACGTCACTCCATACCAGGTACTGGCCACCGTCGTGGGGCAGACGAAACAAACATACCGTAACAAATGCATCGTTCCATCTAGCCAGCAAAAATCTCACCACTTCTTTACTGTGGAGGTGTGGTGAAACACCACAAACATCCCCTCACCATTGAATCTAGCACAAAAGTAGCTCTTCCTGCCCATGAAGGCTGGGTCAGCAGAGACACTTGCACCGAGTTCCTTGTGTCCCATTGTACCGGGGGCCAGCGAAAAATGACACGTCCTGGTGATTCAAGAACCAAATTCCAAACAAAAGAAGGTCAGTTCGGGTCAACGATCACTGCAGAAAGCAGCCAAAAGAATACTCGTACCTAGTTTCATCGTAAATGAGAATGTTTCGGTCGATTCCGTTGCTTTGTACTTTGACCCAGAAGTTCTCATTTCGTTTGCATCCATTTGGTGGTTTGTACAACCCGGACAGGCTCACGCCTTGTTGTGTGACATGGTTGAAACTGGCAACGCCCTCGGGCACCTGGGCAGCATCACCCACCAGTAGTCCCAACTCCTGCTCTTGCTTGGCGCAATCTTTCTTATGTTGTCGTTTCCAGTGAGATAATTGACATTCCTTGCAACAATAGAGAGCATCAAGGCACTTCGTGCATAAGTGTAAATCCTTCTTGCCAACATCTCGTGCCGTCTTGCCACAGTTGCCGCAGGATTCTTTCTTTCTCTCCTTGCGTTCCTGTTTGCGAACTTCCCCCCGAATGTGGTTCCTCACAACTTGATTGACCTGAGAACCCATAAGAGGTTGAAGGGCCATCTTTCGTGGGGATGTCCCAGCGCACTCTGCCACATCCAGACAGGTCGATGACCGTGTCAACAGAAAAAGTGCAACATCATCTCTATTGGAAATGACGACTTCATGCAATGATATGGACCCAATTCGATCTCTGTCATCCACAAGATTCGTGGCCTGCAGAGATTTATCCGTGATGCACACGTTTTGCTTCTTCTTCTTGTTTTTCTTGGCCAGGAATACGTTTTCAGGTTTGACCGCCATCTCCTTTGTGGGTTCTTCCAGCGGATGGAAGACTCTCCTTTCCGTGTCGACAACAAATCCACCCAGTGTTCCTTGCATGCCATTGTATGCCTCTTTTGAAAGTCCTTGTAGGGTAACCTTCTTGCCAACCAGATAACATGTCTTGGTTGCAGTCACACACATGTCACACATACTCAGGGTATCCTTTGTGGCACAACCACCAGCCCCATAATGGCACGCTGTCTTCCCGGTAACATCCTTGGCATTTGGACGGGCACCATACAGCAACAGAACGCGAACAACTTCGACATGTTTCATCTCATGCACGGGTGTTCCAGTGCAGGTTTGGATGACCGGAGCATGCTTGGACATGCTTATTGCGAGCAACAATGGGGACAGTCTCATGGACGTGAACCGTTGCTCCATCAGTTTCTTCTGTCTTCCAAAGTGGCTGCCTTCTTTAGCTCTTGTTCGACGGCCCGGTAATCGCCCTTGATACAATTCCACGCCAAAGGACTCATCCTCTTTTTGTTACTGTTGTTTTTTGTGGGTCTTTGTTGCTGACGATATTCCATGAGCCAGTGTAAAATGTCACCTCCATTGGCAAAGAGCTGGCGGAGAATCTGGCGGTGTCCTTCACTGGTCTCTACCAGGCTTTGATCTCCGTCGCCATAGGGATCAGAATTATTCCTCTCACAGTCCGTCCCAGCCATTTGCAAGAGCTTCTCGATGATTTGACTGGAATCTACCGTCGAACGAGTACACTGCAATCTCGTCAGCAGTGCATGTGCTTCCTTGTCCATGGCCAGTTCGGAGAGGTCGCGGGTGATGGTGTTGTTTTTCTCCCATGTCAGGGATCCCTTTAAAACTTCTGCAGCGGCGGAGTCATCTCTGAGAAGGGATTTACGAAGGTACTCCTTTTGGTCTTCATTGAGCTCCGGCATGGTTGAGCAACGCTTGAGCTAGCTAGGTGCTCGCAATAGATAATACTTTGAGAGCTTGCAGAAACTTCTTGCTTGATGGCTTCTTGAACGAGATCCAAGATCTGGATCTTTTTATCGTTAACCTTATTACATGTAATCTAAAAGGCAACCCCCCTTTGCCCCCCCCTACGGAGAGCAGAGTCGGAATACCGGTACACTTAAATGTGCAAGTATCCCCTTGACGGAGGTGCTGGAACCCATTGTCAACCCCACTTTCTTAAGCTGACGAGCCTTGTGGTACAGTTGGACATGGAACGGGTTCTTGGCAACAGGAGTATTCTCCCCAAAGTTGGAGGACTCACAAGATTTGCAGGATTTTGGCTGCTTGCAAGAAGGGAAGCTCGCAGAAAAGCGGCCTGTTCTCCATTCTGGCCCGTCATTGTCTACTCTTCCTCCTCAATTGCTAATCAGACTCTCGTTGTGGCAAAGGCACAATGCATCCTTGCCTCGAAGCATTTGGTTGCAGGATTATCTTCGAATGGCAAAGGTTCGCTGCATGCTATTACTCGAGGTGGCCTCGTATGTACAGGGATTCTGTTCTGCTCGCAACGTGACTCTTTCACATCAATCTTGCATTCGTTTGATCCCAATGTATGCAACTTGTGCATCCAGGAAAAAGCTCGAGTGGACAAAGCCATCAGAGAACCAGTGTGCCATGGAGCCGCCAATGCACACCAGCAGCAAAGTGGCAATTGGTGTAGGAATCGCATCTGTAAATCCCTTCAGATGCCTTCCAACTAGAAACTCAAGCGAAATCAGCATTGCCTGAAACAGAAAGAATACAATCATAGGGCCTTACGTAGGTTGGAAACAGCTTGTATTGGGACATTGGTCTTTGTGTGCTGCGTCAGAGGCTGATTCAAACACAGGCGCAAAGGTCAACCAGACTGTCCATTCGTGAAATAGACCAGATGCCAAGAAGGTCCACACCAATGCTACATATTTTGGAAACAATCGGCGGATAGGTTGGAAGACACCACGTTTCAAGGCTGTGTGCACTGAAAGGTTCCATCGGCGTGCAAAGAACTCGGAAAAAGAAACGGACTTGGTCAACGGGTCGACCCACATCTCTTCTATCTGAAGTCCAGTGAACAGCATGACAAAGACCTGTAGTCCAAAGGCGCAGGAGATTGACAAGAACCCTGTGTGGGGCAAGAATCAGCTGTATCGTCGTCAAAGCACAGATCTTGTTTTGTTTAGCCCTATCCCAACTAACTCACCTGCAAAACACAAGTTTTCCCACAATCTTTGCCACAGAAAGATCTCCTGCCAACCATACCATGCCTGCTTGTCAAAGTTGTTGCCAGTCCCGAACTGGGGAAATGTTTCAGGGAACAACTGATACAGCGAATGAACTGCCCCCGTTAGTATCATCCCTTGCATGGACCAAATCAGCCTCTGGAGGACCGCCGCGGAGGTTACCTTTACAAATTGTTGCTTCTTGTGGTCGTAGAGGGCAAGAAACGGAGACGAATAGTAGAGGGCAAACGTACCCATGGATGTCGTGAGATGATCGGGGCAGAACCCATGAATCACTAGCCAATAATGTCAGATATCAAATGCTTCAGTAAACTAGCCAGAAGGAAGACAGAGTAGAGTAGTACGCGGCTGACTGACTTACCCTCCATGGTCCGAAACATGCTCAATATCGGCACGGTCCCCATGCAAAAACGGAACACCGTGTTGGTAACGTGCAGCGTCTGGATGACATACATGGGGGATAGAATCCAAAAGGGGATAATGACGCCATATCCCAATAGGTATGCCATACTGGTGTCATGCTGTTTGGGAACAATCACTGTTTGATACAGCACACAGGCAACAGTAGCTGCGACCAGGGCAGTGGCTATCAGGAACTATTACAAAGAGCACAATTAATTGAAAAGTGAATTTGTATTCCAGCGAGAAAATTCTCCACCCAAAGGTACTAGCATCCCAAATTCAACTCACAAGCAGACCCTCAATGTTTTGCAAGAAATTATTGAGGTAGAATCCATAGGTTTCTCCTGACAATGAGAATGTAAAAAGTGGATTGCGGACATCACCTTCCCAGCTATGAGGCAGACTGGATTGGGACAAGAGACTGGTAAGGGTATCCATCATTACTTCTACAGCAGATTTCCATCATCATTGCGGGTGCTTGAGTTGAGACGAAGAGATCCAAGGTCTGGTATCTTTTTATCGTTAACCTTAATCTGCAAGAAATCCACCCTTTGCCCCCTCACCAAACTAGCTAGCATAAAGAGGTGAGAGAGGAAGCATGTCTGCTGCCCTGAACGTGTTCAGAGTACATGTAGCTGGCTAGCTACATGTACGGGTAGCTAGTAGTGTGGAAGTCAAGCAAGAGCCTCTCAGGTTGGGATCGTAGGGTATTTGCCTTGGTTTCTGGCCAAGATTTCACTCCAATCAAGGTCCATGCAGGTGCGGGCAAGCAACCCAGCTCTTGGTTGCAGCCAGCAGAGAAAAAAACGAAATGTGGTTGACCGCGAGGCTGAGGAGAGGGGTTTAGACTAGTGAGGTGAGGCAACTTTCAGCTCTCCGCTTTGGAGAGTCACTGAATCTTATTCATACAACTGGCTAGCTAGGCTGGGATTGCAATCGTCACATTGGCAGCAAAGAAGAAGTGGGCTTTGGAAGTGGAAAGAACGAAGCGTGGATTGCCAAGCATAGCCACAGAGACACTGGGGCTGCTGAAGAGGATGCCTCTGGTGGTGGTCCTATGCCAACGAGGGCAACAGTCCAAGAGCTTTGGTTGTCCTTACTTCTCCTTGCCAATGGACTTTGTCCCGGGAGAAATAGCTGGTACCGCTCAAAGAGATATGCGCCATCCCTAATGATGTGCTGAAGAATTAAGAGCCATAATACCAAGCGTACATTTCCGGCAAATCATAATTCCAAACGAAAGACATTGCGGAGGAGTGGATGCATTTAGCGTTCAATAGCCAAAACGCTTCTTGACGCGATCTTTTCTCAACTTGGTCCAAACATGAAGCCTCTCGACCTTCCACAGACGGCACAAAAACTCAACCTTGCATACAATTCTCAATCAGCTGAGGACCTTTCTCAGACTGTAGGCAGAGTGCCCGTTGTTGCCTGTGTTGCCTGTGTTGTATTGTATTCAGGTTTCGGAAGAGAGTTGGTTGATTGAGAAGAGGCTGGAAATTGGCACTCAGTATCTTTTGGCTTCATTTTCGTCCGTCCCGAATCGCGTTCCATTCCAACCGCAACTGCTGCCTTGATACCTCGATAATATACCCCACTGTAGCCATCCAGCAGGTTACGAGGCATTATCCATCGTAATTGATTGGGAACAGCCTACAATCACCGGGTTTCTTTGGTTAGGACGTGGGTATCTGGTAGGAGCTTCTCATCAGGACACAGTATCTTTCTTGGGTTGTCTGGCCAAAAATTGCCTTCCTGGTATTCACGATATCTTCATTATTCAAGGGTAGCTTGGAGGAGCAGCAGGCCTCAGCAGAAGATCCAGAAGAAACAACCTGCCATTTGCTGGAACTGGTGAGATCGGAACATATTCTACCTTTTCCATTATCAAGACTTCAGACCAGGCTTGAGTTGCTTTGAAGCATTATCCTAACAAATCTGACAGAGATATCTTCTTGGACTGACGATACCACTTGGATAAAGCATCATCGGAAAGGGGCAGAATCTTCCATCCCTGTACAAAACCGACCAAGATATCCTAAGCTACCCCATCGATATTTTATTCTACGACTAGAAAATGTCGCATGATGACGAGGAAGAAGTAGTGGAGGAAGTGGCGGACGACGAAAAGGTCAAACCAAGGCGCCGCATGCCCCGGAGAGTGGCGTCTACCGATGGGGGAATTGTGACAAGTAAGGCCCGTAGACCCGTGAGACGGGCCGCCTCGGGCGATGGATCCAAATCACCCACGGGAGCACCCCCCATGCGTCGAACGGCGACGGATGGATCCACGTCGAAACAACGACGAAAGCCCAAAAAACCAACCGAAAACCAAATTCCTGCTACTAGCAACACGGACAGTGCCAGTGAGGAAGAAGAAGACATGGAAGAACCACCCGGTCCAGCGGGTATGACGGTCAGCGAAAATCGTGGAAGGGCACGACGAATGCCCGCTCGCAGCAAATCCACCGATGGTACTTCCTCTCGAGCACTCCCTTCCAGATCCAAATCGGGAACCTTGTCGGGTCGTAGCACGCCCAAACGAACCGCGTCTGGGTTTGGTCTGCCGCGACGCACCAAGAGTTCCGATGGTACTACGAATTCATTTGGACTTCGAAAGGGTAAAAAGAAGGGCAGCAGTAGGCAAGTGGCCAAAGATGGAGTGATGAATATTTTTGGAAGTGATATTGTGAGTACGGAAAAGGTATTGGAAGATATCGAAAAGACGATGGAGGCTCCAGAGCTGGTACGGTTAGAATTGGAAGATATGTTCATGGCAGATCGAGAGGACCCAGAGGCCATTCCATTGGCGCTCAAGGAACTCTTGGAGCAAGACGATCGACCGTGGGAGTGTGTGGAATTCATGGATGATATCATGGATGGGTCAATGTTTATAGACTTTCGGGAGCGGAAAAAACATTTCATGAAGGTTTTTGCAGGAGTCTGTGAAGCAAGATTGATTCCCTGCACGTACAAGGCGAAAATTACGCTGTCCAGTGGTTCCTTGGATATGGATCAAATGGTGGAACTGCTCTTTTATTTACGAAGTGAACGATCCGTTAACGAACTGACGATAAAGAGCGAAGAGGTAGACGAGGGTATCATCCGTGCCTTGACCGACCTGTTCAAAGCGGACAAACGAAAATGGAACTCTGTGACGCTACAATTATCCGGTAGTGGACCAGGCAAACCTGGATCACCAGAACACACTGCTTGGGCTAAGGCAATGCAAAAAGCAACTGTGGCAATGCAAAAAGTTGCTAAGGAACGTGGCATCAATCTGGGATAGTCTGCCCATAGACTGACTCATACAGGATTGCATTCTACCACGGCAAGAGCGAGGGCGCACTCGGTGACCAAAAAGGAGACGGCAAGCTGCACGATTAGAGATGTAAGGAATAAAGATTGACTATGATATTTTGTCTTGGTAGAATTCATCAGCAGGGTTTTAGGTCTCTGTCTTCGTTTCATCTACAGAAGTACGGAATTTATGCGAAATAAGTGACAGTTCTGGATGACAGGTAGTGTCATGGTTTCTGCTAGCTTGCTAGTCCAGACATTTATACACCAACTTAGCATGCACCGGCGAATCTTTTTCGTCTTTGCAGCACCTTGTCTCGTGTATCCGACTTTCTACGGTATGATACAAGATTTGTAAGGGGGGTTTAGAGTAAGGAACAAATTATCTACGGAAGCCAGCCAGGGCCAGGTTTTCAAAAGATGATGTGCACAAGCTGCAGTCGCGAATGATCAAGCTTCCAATCTCGAGCATCGACAACAAAGCACCGACCAGGTAACTAGTGAGGTAACTAGTGCAGTCGTTGTGACGACGGCAGCTACTAGTAGCTAGCTAGTGAAGATGGTCAACAGATACTGCTTGTTAGGACTGATACATGAAAGTCGCGAGAGATTCTGAATAGTGGTACGACTATATCTTCTAACTCATGTTATCTACCAAACCATCAAAACAGCATCTGGCGAGAGTGGGTAACATTGCTTTTGATGCCGATGCAAGGAGAGCGCAGTCAAGAGACGACGATGGTTGCAACCTATCTCGGACTTCCTCACTCGCCCAAATCAATGCCTCGTTCTCTGGCAACCCGTTTCATTTCCTGCCCACGGGTTTTCATAATCTCACACCAAGCGTCATGTTCAGGGCTCTGAATCGGAAAGGGTGCCTGACCGGACAGCTTCAGCTGCACGGATTCCCACTTTCGATCGTCGCATTGGAAAAGGTTTGCCAACGCATCCACGAGAGCAGGGGTGCTGTGGCTGCTTGACAACGTCAATCTGGTGACACTCGTATCCTTCTGGACATCACACAGCAGCTGCACAAGGCACTCGTCGTCGTCCGGGACACTCACAATTGAGTCATCCTCATCGTCGTCTTTGTCGTCGTCAGCTGCATAGACGCTAGCATCCTCAATAATGAGTTTCGTGGAGCAGGTCATGGGGATCAACTTGCGTGTGCAAACAGTCCCGAGGTGGCGAAAGAAATGGTTCTTGCGCTGTAGCCAGGGGCGGTAGGACGAATGTTCATCCATGCGGACTTCATTCACAAAACTCACTTGCTCCCATGGGCGATCGTCGTGCTCCAAGAGATCCTTGATGGCTGTGGAAAGTTCACCCGTGCAACGTTCCAACAAGTCTTCCAGCTCCAACCGGACAATCTCGGGGTTTTCCTTGGCTTCTTGAATCTGCGCCAAGATATAGTCTGTGCCGACCAACTCAGAGCAAAAGATGTTCATCTCTTTGGCGTTCTTGGAGGAACGACGGTGGTTGCTGCCCCCTGGCCGATGATTGGAAGTGGTCCGGGCCACGCCAGTTCTCACACCATGGTTGCTATTCGACGAGCGACGCTTATGGAGGAAGGATCCCAACCCGGATCTGCGAAGACTGTCCCTCATGGACGAAGAATTGGTTCGAAGTGCTTTTTTGGAGGAACTACGGCCGTTCACGAGTCCTCTCAAGCTGCCACTGTTCTGACTCTTGAGCGGCTCTCCGGTTGTGGGCTGATGCCGGCTGGATCTGCGGTGAAGACTGGTACGCTTCTCACGGAGCGAGTTATTCCTCTTTTCCATGAGAAAACTTTCGCTCTTGGGTTGCTGAAAGGCATACCGAACAGGCTGGACTGGTGCTGTACTACTAGACATGTGTCGCATCGACGACGGGGCCTTGGAATCCGACGCACGCCTGGGTTTTTCAGGGTTGCCGTAGCTCACCTCCGGCATTACGAGCTCGATACCATCATCATCTGTGGGCTCTTGTTCGTTTCTGTTGCTATCAGACTTTTTCGTTCCTTGCTTGATTGGCCGATCCTGGCTGGATGTACGACGATCCTTGCGATCTTTCTTCTTCTCATGATGGAAGGAACTGTTCGTCTTGTCCATCAGACAACCTTCGCTCTTGGGCTGTTGACGGGAGTAGCGTGCAGAGGATGGCTTGAGTTGCCGAAGCGACATAGGAGCCTTGGAGGAGGACTCGGGTTGACGAAGAGCCTCTTCGGCGGCATGGCTGACTCGAGGCCAGCATCCACCTTCAAATTTTGGTTCTTCCTCATCAGCCCCATCTCGTTTGCTGCTGTTGTGTCTTCTGAGCTCTCTGGACGGTTGACGCCGGTGGGATCTGCTGCGACCGCGTCTGGTTTCATGCATGGAGTTATTCTTATTCTCATTCGTCTTCTCCTCCTCCTCTTTCATCAAGAGGAAGCTTTCACTCTTTGGCTGCTGCAGAGTTGCAGTTGCAGTGCGTGCAGGTGGAGAGGAAGGCGCAACTTTTCGAAGCGAGGAAGGCGGCTTGCATTCTCCAGCTGTCGCATTGGAGCGTCCGGCCACCTTGGGCCAGCACCCACCTTCAATTCTTGGTTCCTTAGCTACTTGTTCTCGTTGACTGTTTCGTCTCTTGGGTTGCTGGTGCTTTTCGGTTCGACTACTAGATTGACGTCTGCGGGACCTGCTGCTATGACGTCTGTTGCCTATAGAAGTAGCATGGAATGAGTTGTTATTCCTTTTCTCCTCCTCCTCCTTCATGAGAAAGCTTTCACTCTTTGGTTGCTGTTGCCTTTCATTGCGAATGATGGAAGGAGACGACGGAGGCGACACTACTTTCCGAAGTGAAGTGGGTGTTTTTGGTTCACCTCCTGCTCCCCGTCCAGCCATTTGAGGCCAGCACCCTCCTTTGACTTTGGGCTCGTCGTCGTCGTCGTCTTCCAGATCAATGGTACGCTTTCGCAGAGACGGAGCCATGTCTTGTTTCGGCTCGGGAGTCACTGCTGCCATTTTCTTTTGGGTCCTGGTGCGTGCCGGCAATCGACAAGCCGCATCGGAACGGTTTCGTTTGCCCCAAATCTTGGCGGATATTTTGCGATTCTCCTCGGGTGCGAGAAGACCCATTAGAGGAGGGATCCACAAAATGTCATTGGCCAACTCGGTAGCGGCAGTTCGAAATTCTTCCGGCGAAATGTTGGCATCCATGGACGATGGTGGTTGCTGTTGTTGCTGTTTCGTCTTGTCGTCGGGAGTGACAATCTGGCTTTGGAGCGACACCAAGGACGCATCCAAGCCTGCTGCTGACAGGTCGGAGGACGAGGATCCTTCCAAATTGGGAAGCGACGACGAGCTGTGAGTGGGAATGGCCGGTTTGAAAAAGAGTGACGGCGAGTTTTGGGGGCTCATGGTGGTCGGGCTGCCAGTACATGATGCGAATGTGGTACTGGATCCTTGATGAGACGAGATGGAATTGAGAGAAATAGAAGTGTCCGATGTTGACGACTGGGAATTGTCATCATCGGAGAGATCCAAAATACTGGCCTTTCGATTGATACCACTAGTAGTTTGACCTGTGCCAGTGGGGGATCGAGGGGTCGTGCTCCCTCGGTTGCACAGAGCGCTCTCCTTGATGTTGCTCCAGCGTGTCATGGTCCTTCACAATTTGTGTGTTTTTCGGTTGTCGGAATTCAAAATTTATGAGCTACTGAGAATCCCACTGCTGAGTTTGCACACACGACATCCACAACAACAGCAGCAACAATCAAATGCTTCATCGCCACCGCCAAAAAGGTGACGGATAGAGGGCAACAGCAACTGGAGTCCTCCATGAAGATGCGGAGTTTAGCTCGATCATTGGGCTGTTGTTGCCAGCACTTAATGGAGGAGAAAAGTGTGAGAGGGTTCGTTTGGATTTATTGCTATGTACCCTAATCGCACAGGCACCATTGCTTAAGTATCTCTTGTACTAATGACGGGGGGCTAAATCAGGTGAATGTCATTGAGGTTCTGAAGAAACAGTACATAGGCGAGCGAAGATCGTTGGAATTAACTGGATCATGTAAGCTTAACTCAATGCACCCAACCTGATAAATCTAGGGGGCCAAACATACCACAGCCCCAATTTTTCCAATTTTGGTCCATGGACGTCGAGTCCCACCCACGGTCCGGGCTGCGAGCTTGGAGAAACCAAGACGCGCAACCAAAGCAAGCCCCGGTACGACCTGTACTGATGTAGTTAGACTTACAACTTACTTCAGCTCCTTCTACATGGTAAAGATCTGGAGTGCCCAAGTTGGATCCACATTCCTCAAAGCATCTACGAAGCAGTGATCAATTTAAGGTGCACCGTCAATGCTTCCCACCTATCTTTTTTTGGCTAGGAACATCCTCAAATGTTCATCACCAATCTACACGACCCAGCCTTCCACGCGAGTGCACCGGTGCCAGTACGTTTGGTTGGCAGCACACAACCAGATACAGTAGATGTGCGTTTCCAATTCGTTGGGTGGAGTCTAGTCTGGATCATTGGGAAACGGATACTATCCAATTGGGCTTGGCATCGGTGGCATGCACCGAGTCGCCAAATCTGGCTTCAAGAAGAAGGTTGAGGTGCTGAAAGGTTCCTCTGCTTCGGCTCCTTGACATCGTGGCTGAGTACGGTAGCAGGTACCTTCCCAACAGCTTACAGAATGTCTTGCAACTTTCAAAGTCATGGGAGCGTTAAGACCTCCGTTGTTGCTTTGCAACTGGAGCGACGCCGTTCCTCTTCTGTTTTTTGTCGCCCAGCGCCAAATGAATCCAGCCAATGGATCATTGCTGAAAACAAGATTGGTCAACGAGAAAACGTCAGTGTGACGGTGTAAAGGTATCGTATCGTACATGTAGTTCCACCTTCGCACCTCTGTGACAGGTACATACCGCAGGTTGGAGGGGTATTCGATATCATTCAGTGCGTTCTGCTGGACGACCGTCGACACCGAGGAGTCCTCTCTCCTATCTCTCCTAAACAGTCTACCGGAGCCTGCGCGTTGTGACTATGCACGCAAGCGGACAAAGGGCGTCCGTCTTTGCCACATACTCATGAATGTATCACCCGATATTTGACGCTGGCGCCTGATGCAGAAAACTCACACCAACTAGCTAGACACAAGAATTGTAATAGAGTCATCTCAGTCTAGGTAGCTAGATGGTCAAAACGAATGTATCCGATGTAGCAGTGTTATTTGGCCCTCCTGTTGTAGTCATGGCAAATCGTGAGGACTGGGCAATCCAAAGCTCCCATTGACGCGAATCAACCCGTAGATTGCTTTCATTTCCTCCTCATCCAATTCGAAGTCCAATACATCTAAATTGCTGACCATTCGTTCTGGTGAGTTGGTTTGAAATGCAATGGCATACCCTTTCTGAATCAGATACCGAAAGACCACTTGTCCAACATCTTTTTGATGTGCTTTGCCCAGTTGCTGCAAGACAGCATCATTTTGAACATTCATCAATCCACTGCCCATGGGAGAATATGCATGTGCCTGAATCTCATGATCTCGGCAATAGCTGACAATGCTTTCATACTGGAGGTATGGTGATGATTCAATTTGATTCACCATGGGCCGAATGGTGGCTCCATCTTGCATGAGTTGATCCATGTGTCGTTCACAAAAGTTGGAAACTCCAATTGCTCGAACCCAACCTCGTTGGTAAAAGTCTTCAAAAACCTTCCAAGCTGCCAGTCGTCGTTGTCGGCTGATGCCTTCCTCTTGCCCTTCTCCAGAAGGCCAATGCATCAACAGCAAGTCAATGTATCCAACTTGCAGCTCCTGCAAACACTGCTCAATATGATCTTCTGTTTGAATAGCAACTTGTTCGGGTGTCATGTCATCTAGATTCCATTGGTGATTGCGTTTCAATCCAAATTTTGGGGCTGGTTTGTGAAAGACTTTGGTTGTTAGAAAGACATCTTCACGTGATTTTAGTCTCCCAGAGGCCCACCATTGTCCCAGTACTTGTCCCAAGTGTGGTTGGGTGCCATACATCAGTGCAGTATCAAAGGATCGAATTCCCTTTTGTAGGGCCAATTCGATTTGTCGGAACGATTTGGAGGGATAAAACCCAACAAAGGTTTTGTTGCTGCCTACATGAGGGGCTCCAAAGGTGAAATGGGCCAATCCCAGAGAAAATAGTGGCAGTTGGACGCCATTGCGAAGTGTCAGTGTAGGATTGTTGGCTGGAGGTAGATAGATACTGCACTCGTTGGCATCTTCTTTGTTTCTCTGGCAGTACATGGACTTCTCCTCTCCAGAATGATCATCGTTGGATTCAGATGGCGCAGAACTGGCATGGTTAGCACAAAGCAGTAGTGCTGAAAGCAAGAGGAAGAGTTGGAGTATCTTTACCATCATCACGATGATCATCAATGGCAAGATGACAAGAGAGATTCCGAGATACCGTACCAATAAGCCTAACAGGAGCCACTATGGACAAGATTTCTTGAAGGATCTTCCTAGCATAGAAGCCATCAGAGCCACGGATCTTTCGAATGACAGGGGGGTCATGGATCGTGGATACAGTATCCAAGCCAGTCAAGTGAATGATGTCATGACGGGATTGATACATCCACCTCCACGAGACCGCGGTCAAGGCAACCACAAACAAGGCGAAAGGAAAAACTCCTATCAAACGGTCAGGCGGAAGACGGGGGAAGGCAGAATAGGCACAGTAGGTTGCACTCAGAAGTGTTTGAAGGCGAAGAAGACAAGGAGGCAGCAGGGAAGATGGCGGAACCGGAAGATCCCTGGGAAGATGCGGGAGATGATCTTGACGTGCCGTCCAACGGTGGGACCAGCAGGGATGGGCACCACGAGCGCACCAATCTTCATCTGATAGACGTCAAGGCCAAGCTGGACAACCTTCGCAAGACGATAGAATCGGAAGGGAAACATCGCCGCATTGAATTTGCGATCCAGAACGCGAAAATGGTAACTCGTGACTGGATTGTGGGGTATGGGACCCAGACTCTGTTCAATGCCAACACCGACAACCTGGTGCAGCAGATTCTGTTTGCATTTCGCATGGGGAATGGGTATGATATTGGGAAGTACTTTGCGTTTGATGGGGCTGGAAAACCTGACCACTCGAATGGATCGACGGGGTACGATAAGTTTCGAATCAAACTCAAGCACAAGCTACATTTGTTGCTGGGCCAAGAACCTAGGATTGACACAGAGCCAGTGGAAGGAGGCAGGACGATGGTATTCTACAACTAGCTTTTAGCTCCTAGGTAGTTGTAAGGATCATCGGGAACAATCGTCTTGTAATTCAGCCAAGTAGCTCTGGGTATAGTCTCGGCCAGCCATTTGGGCAGATTGCATTGGTTTTCCTGTTAATAAAAAGAACGGAGTTAGCATCAGTTAGTCGAATTACCACTGAACGAGTAAGTTTCTGGAGAAACCAATCCGTGGACTTCTGGCTAGCTCGAGCAGGACAGGCTTCAAAAGTTCAAAGACAACATTCAGAAGACCCATGCCGAGCTACATCCGGGCATAATCCATTCGGTCGTTGTACAAATTTGTTTCATGTGTGTGGCTGCAACGGGTATCATCATGACGTAGTCTGGTATGATATATAAAGTGACAATCCTGCCCGAAAAACCAAGCCAAACCGAAGGGATCAAGCAATGCATCCCATATAACGAATACGATCAATTTGGAAAACACAGCAAATTGACAGTGATCGAATCCGCATTCATTACTGATTGGATAGTTGATTACAAGTTTGGTTTTGATAATTGTGGCGTTATAGTCTTCTTCTTGTGTGCCTTGCCAACGAATTGTTGAATATCAAGGCTGGGATGAAATCAATCTGCAAAGATGACAATGCAATCTAAGTCTTCCGGAGGTTTGGTGCCGACGGTCTATTGAAAAAAATGATCCTTATGCCAAGGCAACGCTCTTTCCACTGGCGGATCCCCACTGAAAAGATGGATAGATAAACGATAAGCAGAGAGAAGAAAAGTCAGATAGCTGAAACAAAAAAAATATTCAAAAAGGCTACCATCAGGAATCTATCGCACCTTTTCCAGTTTTTCCAGCATGGATGCGGGAGTAACACTTTCGTCTGCTTGGACGACGACAGTCTTGGCAGCCACATCCGTCTCGACACTCGACACGCCTAATAAAAAAACAGAAAAGGAAGAATTCAATTCAGCCATCAGGATCGTTTCCATTCGGGCTTTTGACAGAAATTCGGACCCGTTTCCATTCTCTATTTGATACCCCACAATAGTTCATTAATTCACAGTAGGAAACATACCTTCAACCTTGCCCAATATCCTCTTGACGGCATTGGCGCATCCCTCGCTGTGTGACAAAAACACAGAATCAAAAGTGAGAAAAAGTAGGAGAACAGATAGAAAGACACGCCAAAACAATGCATCAGGTGAATGACAAAAGTTCAACACATAGCTAGGAGGCCTGTCGTGGCGTCACCACCCAATATCCAAACACAGTATTCAGTACTACCCTACACATCCACCCTACCCCATACCCCACCCCAACGACGAACACACCAGGAGTCTTCTCACCAAGTCATTCCAACGTTGAACTTTGTTTCTGGCATGGTTTCTTCTGATGGCGCAATAGAGGAGGCTAAAACGAGTTGCTAGCTAGTGGCCTATCAGTAACAGGAGATGAGGACCAAAGACAGGGCTCTGTAGTTTGATCTGCTGTTGGTTCTTGCTTGGATGTGACAACGCGGTCACTTACTAGCTAGCTAGCGTACTTGTTTTCGCCTGGCCGTTGGCAGAAATCTTTTCAGTCTGATTGGGGACTCGACTCGCGCATACCGGTACTATTTTATTAATTAATAGTAGTATGGATCGCTTGGGAAACGGTACTGTACTATTAATCCACCCGCCAACGCCCTCGTAGGTCTGGTACACTTTCTACGGTGGAAAAAATAAACGGCCGAAATCCACTAGTTAATTAACACGATAGGCCGATTCGGATTTCGAAATTTTACACACACAAATTAAAACGCCGGTAACGGCCTGATGTCAGAATCCAATCGGATTTTCCTACTGATGTCTCTATAGTAGAATTTTCTGGTGACGTTGATTCTTCGAAATCCGATTCAAATTTAGGCCGTTACTCAGAAATCCGTTTGCCGGGATTCTCCACTGTAGAAATACAGTGAATTCCCAACTTCCGGATTCTGGAAATATATATAAGATGTGTCACATCAGACGTTCTTTGGATTTCAATCGGATTCTGACTGGATTTTCAATCCATGTGTATTTTTTCTGCGACCATGTGTACCACTTCATTCTCACGGGAACTTTATTTCGATAGATGTGTTTGTTTCTACGATTGAAACCGTATCTTTGAGCAACAATGGTGATTTTGCAGGTTCTGAGACAATTCCTTGCTATATTATAAGCACGAGAAGATGGAAAAATGAATTTGTTGCTTACTTTTAGGGTTCGATGCTTAAGAGAAGGAAAACAGTCGGAACGTCATCAATCCGAACTATTCAGCCAAAGAAGCACGAAACAATTGGCGTCCGTTGAAGTCAAACCTCTTCTTCGATTACACTCTCATTCTGCCACAATTTCCACCATCGACAACTCGAAACGAAAATATGCCCTTTTATCTCCAGATATCCCATCAAAACTACACAATGGCCCCCAAATAAATCTCCACAATGGCGTTCATCCAAGCGACGGTCCGTTTTGGTTTGCGGGAAAGAAGTTTCCATTTATGTCTCGATGCCATACCTGCGGTTGAGGTTGGATCTGTGGGGCAGGCTGGATCTGTTGAGCGGGTTGGATCTGCATCTGCTGCTGTTGTTGGATCTGAGGAGCGGGCTGCATCTGTGGGGCTGGCTGTATCTGCATCGGTTGAGCTGATTGCTGAAACTGCGGATACACATACTGCTGTGGTTGTGGCATCACGTAATTCTGCATCATGGTTGCTTGCTGCTGCATCGCCACCATTTGATTCCAACTCATTGGAATCGAATACTGAGGCTGCGGCTGAATTTGCATGGGCATCGGTTGCTGTTGATACATTCGTTGGTCCATGACTTGATTCGCCGCCACCAATGGAGCTGCTGCTGCTGACTGAGGGAATACTTGATTTGTCGCAACTGGAGGCATCGCAACTGGAGCCGCCACAACTGGAGCCGCCGCAATTGGAGCCATCGCCAACGATTGATGAGATCCTGCCACGGAAACAACCGCACCACCAGGTACCGCAGGAGCTGACGCAATACTTGCCGACGATGCTGCTGCTTGAGCGTGAACCAGCTCGAGCAACTGGGCCTTCGTCATCTTCTTCAACACCTTGTCATCTGGAATGACAGATGGATCTTCCGTCAGCAAGGACGCCTCTTCTTCGTCGTCCGAATCTTGAGTCAAGATCTCGTCGGGTACGGACTTTTTGGCAGACTTCTTGGCGGACGCATTCTTCTTGGACTTGTTCGATTTTTTCCAAGTAACATCCTTTTCTTTTTGAGCTTGGCGCTTGGAGGCCCGCTTTGCGCGCGGTTTACCGCCCCCATCATCGGATTCTTCCTCTGATGTTCGTCTTGGAGGACGCGGATTTCCATCTTCGTCTTCGGATTCCACCGCCAAGTCCTGATCAGAGCACATCAACGCCTTGAGAGCAGTTGATCGACCTTCATCTACGAGACGTGCATAAGGGATCTGACTCTGTTCGCACTTGTGACGGGCGAATTTCAATCGAGCAGCCATTGGAACCCGAGCTTGATGCATCTTGGTGATTCCATAGGCACGAAGACCATGATTCGTGAACTTCTCAAGATTCGTGACTCCAATGACTTCACCGAGTTCCTTGGCCTTCTTCGACACATTGTTGTGGCCTAGGTTGTACTGAGCAGTTTTCCCTGACGGTTGGAACCAAATGTCTCGATCCTGGTACTTGTTCCCATGCACTTGATGGTTGGTGAAATACTTCTTGTATTCCTTCTTCTGCTTGCTAGAGGCAATCTTGGCAAAGAATTTCTCCGCTTCTGGATGACACTTGGACAGGTAGAAGTCGAAACACTTGAACGCACACAGCGGATCTCGAGGATTCTCAACGATTTCCAACCAGCGATCTTTTTCCGCAAGAGCTCCAGATTTGTAGAAGCTCAGTCGATTGGTCTTATCTTCGGGAAGTCGGATTGCCATATGCAAACATCCAGCCAGGTCACCCATCTCGCGAGTGTACATCCCGGAATAAGTATCACGCATCATGAGCTCTGACATTTCCTTACCACCCCGAAGAAGAAAAGATCGACCAAGGTGGAACACACAGACGAATTGGAGATGAAGCGGTTCTTTCCACGGTTGGAGTCTTCCGTCTTTGACAGCTTCGCGGATTTTCTTGTCCGCTTCCCAATCAATCTCCGAATGATGACTACGAATTCCAAAAGTTGGATCCGTCTTGCGGATTTCCGCCCAATACTTGATCATGAATCCGTGGAAATCTCCTTTGGCGTTGAAATCCTCCTTGAACGAGTACTGAAACTTGTCGTGAGTCTTTTTCTTCCACTCGCCAAACACGTTGTTGATGTATTGGGTGAAGACTGTCGGAGAGAGCGGTTTTCCTTTGTTGGTTCCAGACAAACACAACCACTTCATTCCACACAAGATCGAGCAATAGTTCAGGATTTTGTGCTTGTTCGCATCTTTTTCTCCACACACCACATTGAAAAAGGCAAAATCGGTGGATAGTCCTTGGTCGTAAGTGACGGGAACAATCTCAAGAAGACTGGCCAAAACGGAACCTCCATGATCTCGGATTGTACCGAAGAATCGTTTTTGAAGACTCTCACACTTCTTCTACTAGTACTGGTACACTCTTACATGTACCTCATCAATAAGCCAGTAAGCTACTAGCCAGTAGCTCTAATCTGACTCGAGTCCTGATTCATCAACAGCCACACTGAGTCAATATCATAAAAGCAGCCCAATCTCTGTATCTTTCATATCTTATAGCCACTCGTAGCAATTTTCACATAATATACTACTAACCATGCCCTCAGACAGCGAGGAGCCAACACCAAAGCCCAAGAGGGCAAACCGTTTGGTCCCCTTTTTAAAATGGTCCTCGACTTATCGCCCCTGATCCCAGGGAACCTAGTCCTGAATTTCGACTTTTCTTAGCTTAAGCCTGGCCCCAGCTGGCTTCCCTAGATAATCTACCTACTCAAAAACCCGATCCTTAATCCAGCCACTCTTTGCTAAAATCGTATGATATTGGAGGCAGCCCAAGATGGGGATGTGGAGGACTTCGATGTGGGAGATAGTGGGTACTAACTGCCCTCACTCCCCATATAGTAATATTTTAAAATAGGATAAGCTTAGGATTTGAGGCATTGGTACTTGTAGCTTATCTTACTGGTTTGGGAAATCTGAATTTCTAGCTAGAGGTTATCTTTTATGAACTGTAAACTTGAGCACTCAGTATCTTGGTATCTTAAACCCACTTACCTTAAGTGCGAGTGAGGAGTGTATGAATGGGTTGGGCGACGGAGAAAAATTATCACTATTAAAATTTATTATTCACCAATTGAGTATTTATTTCGCCCACAATCAGATGCACCTGGTAGCTGCGAGGCCTTGTCCTCATGCTTGCTAGCTACATGTACCTGGTAGCTACCAGTAGTTGGCTTCTAGCCACTGTTTGACGATCAAGCGGATCCTTCTCCTTCCGCTTGGATACCCTCTTGGTTTTCCCCATCACAGGTTCAATATCTTACAATCCAAAATCACTAAAATATTTGGAAACGGAAAGGCTCTACTGTACAGGAGCATCATGCATGCTATGAGGATCTCATCATAAGTTGGGCCCATCTTTGCCTCTAGCTGGCTACCGGCATAGTAGGCAGAAACCGTACCCGTAAGACCACTCATCTGTTTGGGTGGTACTGAAACTCAAAGCATTGGTGAGGAAGACCGCTTTGCGATTGGATACAGATATGGGGAAATATGTTTGAACCAATGATATTATTAAAAAGTACGGGTAATGGTTTGATCTTTTGATGATTTTTATTACCGCAACTACCTATTTTCAGCTGTCGTCCAGAGCTCGGTTCAGCAGAACAGAGAAGACATCGTAAGCGTGCTTGGTGTTACCTAGCTTATCTGGCTGGCCACGAGTAGACTATGCAAGACCCTGGTTGCAAAATAATAATATCTATCCCTTGGTCATTTGGACGCCATTACGCCAACGGTGTTGAACGACCGTAGAGCGCCATTACGCCAACGGTGTTGAACAACCACCAATATCGCATTCAATCGTATTATTGTGTAGAGTATCAATCTCGCAGTCGATTCGATTGATTCCAAGAAAACATAATATGTTCATAATAACAAACTTAAAAGGATACTAGCTCACCAGAGTTACCTCCTCCTCTGAAACCCACCCTCACCATACCGCTACGTGTACTCCCTCTAACCTCTAGCTAGCTAGTAGACGCTACCCATCCCATCCCTGCAACGCTACTTTACAGTATTTTCACTATAGGGTTAGCGATATTGGCCTCAAAGCATTGCTTATCGTAGCTTTCTCAAGCCGGTACAATCGATCATGACTCCCACCCAGATGATATCTTGCGTGCTGCATGGCATGCTTCTGCTGCTCCCAGCTACATCCTTCAGCATCTCTCAGCACAGAAACAGGCACCCCCACACGGCGTTCCTTTTTGATAGCAAGAACACGAAAGCCACTTCTCCTAGCAGCCTCGGCGTTACCGCCACTTCCATAGATGATGGTACCGGCACCCTCGTACACGACTTGCAAGCCGAGTTGAACGGCGAGGATCTTGGGCTATGTCACGGTATTCTACATGCCTCGGGTGTGCGCCGTTTGGGCGACCTCAAAGGCTTAACTGATGAAGACATCCGTAACATGGGAGCTGATTCATTCGACCGTCGCAATATACAGCGCGTAATGAAGGATCTCAATGGCCAGTTCGGTACACAGAGTGCCGATGGCGACATTGGTACCCAAGAAGATCCACAAGCCCACCCAGCAAATAAGCTTTTAACGACTTCTGTAGACGGCGCCTTCGACAACAATAACAAGATTCTTCAACGGTTTGAGGCGGTGCGGGAGCAAGAGTTTTGCATTGAGCCTATTTGCCTGGAACACGACGTCTTCAAAGGTCGGCTCTTCACAGTGGATCAATGCGAGCAAATCAACCGCATGGCAGAATATCACGCTTACAGCAAACTTGGAGTCATTGGTGGCGGTTGGACGAATGAGATGTACACTCTTACTGCACAACATATTCAATGCAAAGAAATCATTGGCATGATCCCAACAACCAAGAACGTTTTCAGGCAACTCTTTCGAGAATTGTACGAATTGTTCCCCAATAGAATCCGTCGTGGCTCCATTGTGTTTGAAAGTGACGGAGAGCCCCATCTTGTCAAGTACAATGGTAGAGTCAAGGGAACGGCACCCCACACGGACAATTCTGAGTTCGTCTATATTACTGTCAATGTGGTGCTATCGGCAGAAGACGAATATACAGGTGGAGGTACCTACATAACCGAATTGGACCAAACCATTCGATTGGAGCAAGGAGAAATGCTAATTCATCTGGGGGACCTGGAACACTCTGGTGCTGAAATCACGTCTGGAGTGCGACGCATTCTAATTGCCTTTCTGGCTTGCGAGTGGGAGGACGAAGCTTTGAACGAGGAGAAGGTCGAATTTTCAAGAGAAAATATGTGAGTCGAATCCATGGCAACTTTAGGCAGGTAACAACCGCCCGGAATTGGAAGCAAAGATTATCTTAGGACTGTCCGGGATAAACAGGTCTACAGCAATGTCAGGATTGCGCACTTGTATCACAGACCAATCAAGGAAAGAGAAGGAAAGGATCCCAAGGAAAGGAGGCCAGGGAAAGCAGAATGGGCAGAGGACGAAGACTAGCGATAAAGATCTACTGTAGCTAGAGGGCCTTGATCATCCCAGAGCTCATGCATCCTTAGTGCCAGGAACACCAGAACCACGCCGCAGACACGAGAGAGAGTGTGCGAGGTCAAGCATGCACGCTGGCATGGCACCGGCTTCTTGGCATGGATCTTTGGATCTATCTTTTGTGAAAGATACCGGTACAAGTACCGTAACGGTTCCTGTAAGCTGTAAGGATGGATCAGAACTCCAAATTGCAATCGCGTTTGGAGATTTCCTGCTTGGATCTATCTTTTGTGAAAGATACGGGTACAAGTACCATAACGGTTCCTGTCAGCATAAATCACAATTGCAATCGCGTTTGGAGATTTCCTGCACGGCTGCACGGCAAATCCACTCTCTTGTTGTATGCGATTTGTATGCGATTCCTGTAACTCCCCCGGTTGTATTAGCAGGACGACTTTGGATCTTTGGTGAAAGGTATCACAGCAGTCAACGAAATCTTACAAAACAAAAAGTTCCTGAAGCCATAGTGGGCAAGAAAGGTGTGACTGGAATACCCACTGTACCCTACCGTAAGAGCATGAGCGACGACAAGACGGCTGCTACCACGGCAGGGGGCAACAACCTCCTCACCGTCACTGTTGTGGCGCCGGTTGCCTTGGCTGTGGTGGCCCCCATTTGGTACAAGTTTGTAGCGGATGATGGCCAAAGAGATACGATTTTGGCCATTTTGGTCCAACATGGCGTTCCCGCGGAGTGCTTCGGAAGCAGTCTTCCTACCAGTGGCTGTATCAATGAATCGTTTCCTTGGTTAATTGTATCCATCGTCGCGTTGATGGTTGTCTACACTATCAAGACATTCTTCTTCGACAAGCCATCCGAGGCAATAATGGAGATTGTTGAACAAGAATTTGACAAGCGCCACGATGTCTTGAAAGGTCTCCTGAAAGAGTTGGAAGACGGCTTTGTCAAGGACGAGGATGACGTCGATATTGAACTCTTCAACAGCGAAGTGGTGTGGGAGAAAGTCAAACAGCTTATTGAGTTGCCCAACTACGATAAGAAACTCGCCACGGAAGCTTTCAACTGGTTGTGGATTGTGCTCGACAAAGATCTACGAGTCACAATCAAGCTCACCAAAGAAGGTGAAGATGTCAAGTATTCAAACGGCAATGAACTGGAGGAACTTGTGGAAAACTTTGATGATTTGATTATGAAGGCCTATGATCAAGGCTTTGCCCCCAAAGGAGAAGAAAGAAAGAAGCTTTACAAGTACAAATGGGAAGCAATCTATTACCTCAAGATTCACGGACTCAAGGTATACAAAATGAAGAAGACTACCCATGCTCAAAATGGTTGTTTCTCACCTTTTTGTTGTTCCGTACATGTAATACAGACGCTAGCAAAGGCCTTCAAAATGGCGGTGATGGCCAAAAAAGCATTTCCTTTCCTTATTTTTCAGACCGTTGGAACCACATTCACTGCAACGTTGGCGCCCCTCAAGCTACACTACCGTGCCCAAGTGCTCGAGAATCTAAACGATACAGAAGGGGCACTGTTTTGGGAGGCCTCCAAGGCAATGATTCTGGTTGAATTGCTCTCAACTGTGCTAGAGCTTGTGACAGATATGGTGAAAGTACATGCTGAAACTCTGGCCAACAAGGAGATTCAAATTGCGTATTTCGATGGACTCTTGAAGATGCCTGTTACGTTCTGGTCAAGGCAAGCCGAAATGGGTTGGGAGAGAATGGGTTTCTGGGATGTCTACAGTTTTGGTCGCTCCATTACCAGATTCTTGGCAATTCCCCAGAAGGTCCTTCAAGATCTTGTGAAGGCTGTAACATACGCGTACTTGATCCTTCACTCGTCGTCGCGATCACTTTTCCTGTTGCTTGGGGTGAACTTTGGATCCGCCATCCTCTCTTGGATTCTAGACAAAATTGCAAAACGGCTGGATACATTGAGCCAAAGCGGTGTAATGAAGCCACAGTTCGACGACGTCAAGTCTTGCTATTACTCCCTTGAGCCAGACTACATTTCTACTTATCTTTCGTTTGTGCGAGGACCAAAGGAATTGAAAAGGTACGCGGTACTGGGGCCTGGATACAAATGGTTTGCTGGCTCCAATCTAATATCTATGGCTACAATGCTTTCAAAGATTCAACAAATATAAGATTGGCGAAGCTGAGATTGAAAAACGCAGCAACTTGGTCAAGGCGTTCAGCAATCCCATCTCGGCCATGCTCGCCCAAGGGTCGCAAGTTGCTCAGTTCTCAACCGCACGAACCAACGTTACCCAGGATGGGTTGGGGATTGCTGATGCCGATACGATGGTTCGATCGGCTGAAAACTTTGTGGAGCAGTCCCAGTCCATTGGGAGCATCTTTGGCGATATATTTGAAAAAGCCAAGCCGCTGGGGAAGGCATACGACATCATCACCCTTCCAAGGACAATTGATCCAGACACGGGTTTGTGGCCCAAAGAGAGGGCAAAGGGTCAGATCGAGTTCAAAGATGTTGTAAGTATTTTGGCACTCGTTGTGTGTTGTCTTACTGGATCTGCAGTTTCCGCTCGACTGACACCATGAATACACTTCCGCTAAAGCGTTTTAAATACCCCAGACGGGATGCTGAAGTATTGAAAGGTGTTACATTCTCAGTTCAGCCCGGTGACACGATCGGAATGACTGGCTCTGCGGGTTGCGGCAAGAGCACTTGCATGAGGTTGCTGGAGAGGTTTTACGACGTGTCAGCGGGGAGTGTTCTCCTTGACGGAGTGGATATCCGCGAATACAACCCCAGATGGCTGCGAAGTCAGATTGCTACGGTTGCACAGGAACCAAAGTTGGTGCCCCTAACACTCCGCGAGAATCTTACGTTTGGCTGTGAAAAGGAGCCATCTCTAGAAGAGATCCACGACGCTCTCAAAGGTAAGACGGAAGAACGACTTCTTTGAGGAGTATCACCAGAAACCAATGTTCCTTTCTGATAATGACTATTGCAAACAATGACCAGCCGCAAACATTTATGATTCGATTATGGACAAAACCAAGTTCCCTCAGGGGTTGCGTACGGAGATTGAATCTGCGGGCAATGTCTCGGGCGGAGAAAAGCAGGTACGTCGGACAACTCTTTCCATGCAGATGCGAGGGATTGCTTTACCTCATCTGACCAATTTCAAACCCCGCCGTTCGTCTTGGCAATGCAAAGCGAATTGCAATTGCGGTTAGTGCATTTGCGTCTGCTGCTGAGGGCGATCTTCTTGTGTCTCGGTCTTTCTCACTACTATCATATCTTCCGCTATCGGTAACCGCTCTTTAAAAGCGAGCGATTCTGGCTGACCCCCCCATTTTGCTCCTTGACGAAGGTGAGGTTTGTGCCACCAAGAAACTTTCGTAGAATGCAGTGTCGTTCATTTTAAATTTATTCATCCACCCCTTTTGTCAATAACCCCAAAGCCACGAGTGCCCTTGACGAAGAGAATCAAGCCAAGGTACAAGATGCTCTGGATGTGCTCATGAAAGGCCGCACAACCATGTAAGATTGCTGGCTGCTTCCCAGTCTGCAGTGTCCTTCACGTGCCAACTTATTTCCTGTTGTTGTCGTACATGTATTTATACAGGGTGATTGCACACCGCCTCTCCACAATCAAGGAGTCCAGCAAGATTGTAGCATTTGATAAGGGCAAAGTTTTTGAAGAAGGAACTCACGATGAACTCCTCGAAAAGGAAGGATCACTCTATCGCAAACTCTGGGATAGGCAACTTTCGAAGCGACACGGAGACAACGAAGACGAAGAGAAAGAACAGGAGGAGGAGGAGGTCGAGCCATTCCCTGTTGAGGCTGGTATGAACCCCAAGCCAACCGGACTTCGTCGACTGCAAAACATCCTCCATGGTATGCCCGATTCAGACCCGACCAAGAAGGAGATGAAGCAGATCTGCGAAATGCTGGAGACCGAACAGCAGAGTCGTGAAATTCGCCGTCGTGGAATCCAGAGAGCCGCCGTCAATAAGTGGAAGCAGCACATGATGGCCGAAGATGCGACAACCAGTGCTGGAACGAAGAACTTTAAGCGCTTGGCCAACAAGGTGGTGTTCAAGAATATGCATTCGAGTGTGAGCGAGAAGCTGGAAGACTTGGAAAGCAAAAAGGCATAAGGCAGAATTGGATTCCCCTTATACCGACTATTGGAATTTCTCTCCATCATCACTCCCTTGTGCCCTATCTAGGCGGTACCAAATGTAATATGTGCTGGAGATCAAATAGATCGGTTCTAGATAGTTAGAATTGTGAGGAAATGTAGATTATGAGAGCTCCAAGAGGAGCTACCTTGCTATAGGTAAAAAGCAAGCAAATAAGCTGGCAGCGAGAGTTGATGCTGTCACAGAGGATCTTGCTGGTTATAAACCTGCAGGTCTGTAAATACGCATGTTTCAGTCATGCATGTTTCAATCGTGTAAGATACTGCACTCTGCCCCACCAAGGTGTAAGTCCAATGGACGAACAGCTTGCACTGGCTGATAGCATTGGGGAAAAATTTTGGAGCATTGGACGAGTCGTCCAATGTGGAGAGGAAACCATGTGGACAAAAACCTCTCAATGTGTGATATGGGGGTGGATTTGGGTAAGGGGTGAAGGAAGTCCTTCGGGTTTATATGGGTTGTGGGCTGAAGGTGGCCTTCAGTTGGTATTGTATCCTGAAGGTGGCCTTCAGTTGGTATTGTATTGAGGTCGAAGGAATCCTTCGGTTTGTGTTTGATTGTGGGTCCAAGGAATCCTTCGGATGTGTTAGAGTGATGGCGGAAGGAATCCTTCGGCATGTGTTTGTAGCTGGCGGAAGGAGTCCTGCTGCTTGTATTTGCATTGTAGCTATTTGTATTTGTATTTGTATTTGTATTTGAGTAATGGCTGAAGGAGTCCTTCGGCTTGTATTGGAGTATGAATGGTTGAAGGAAACCTTCGAGTAGTGCGCAATGACGATTTGTAGTTGGCTTGAATCAGGCGTCCCCGATTGAGTAGCATGCATGCGTTTGGAATCCCTTCCCCTCATTACACAGAGCCTCATGAGGCAACGATAAGAGAAGGAGCGTATCTTGCAGAATACTGGAAGATGTGGGAGAGACTCTCTTTTAGAGAGACGTCGGCACTAGTATATGGTGGTGTACATGGACAACCCATGAGATGCATAGCATGGAGACAATCATGAGATGCATATGTTTTTTGTTTGAATGTTTTGGCCCGAGCAAGACTCATGGCTTGAAATTGATGTGCTGATAGGCAGACCACACCAGGTAAAGTATGCAGCAGGGCTGCAGGTTAAGAATGTGGTGCAGCAAGGCTGCTATTGATGAAATTTTGTGCAGCTGGGCTGCTGTTGAAGACTGAAGGTATGCAATGATACGATCGACAGTACAGTTGTGCAATACACGGCTCTTAGCCTTATTCGCGACTCGATCCTAGATAGGGTTTGAGTTCGACTCATGACTGAGTCTCTCGTGAATAGTCATTTGAGACAGGGTTCTCAATGACCGCGCTAGTCATACTAGGTTGATGATGAAACATCGCTCTAGATATTTAGCCAGCGTGGAGTACTTCCACGCTACTAGCTAGATCCAGGCTAGACAAACCTTCCACGCGTTCCGTTTTAGGATCGTGGAGAGACGTAGGATTACTACCGCAACCTACTCTATCACACTTTATAGTCTCCCGCGGGAAGCCAGATCTACGATCCCTTGATGATGATCTCTCTCGTTGATTAGTTTTCATAGCTTTCTAATCTCTCTCATAACTTTCATTCTCTCAAACTCAAAACACTCGAAAGATCTTTACACTAGCTTTTAGCGTAGTGCATTTTGTTAACAAACACAATAGCTTTCAGCTACCCTCAACCTATTCCTTCACCATGAAGATGGCTCAAGGAAAGCATGCGTTCCGCAACTTCGAGAAACAGTTGCGTGACAAACCCATTCTTCCTCTCGTCGACAATGACGAAGAAAACGAGATCGACGATACTCGTGCAACCCCTTGCAAACTTCGCAACCATGTTGCCAAGCGCAAATCAGAAGACTCTGACAATGAGGACAACTCCTCTATCAATTTCAATCACTTGGATGGAGGAGTGTAACGGTTTTTGTTTCCCTTTTTCTCGTCTTGTAAATCTAACATAGACGATGGGTTTGAGGTCTCTTGTCTTGCGACGTTTACGAGGTGGTTGGCCACGGACGAGGTTAACGATGCTAAATAGATCATCAGAGTCTAGTTGAGCAGCTTCTAGGCAATCATTAATTTGCCGTAGTGTTCATCAGTTGCAAACAATTCTTGTTTACTAGTTAGTGAGATATCTTCATCACTTTGGTATGAGAAATCGGAACATGGTTCCGTTGAGTCATCATCCTGGCCTAATCCTCAGATAGAGTTTTC